GGTAAACCACTAAAGATTCATGATAATTTGCCAATTTTTGTGATTTTTGTCTGGCTCCTGTGCCTATTCTACTTAATTTAGAAGGTTCATTTTTTTCATGTATAAAGTACTTATACAATAGAAAACGTAACTATTATTTTAAGTTTCTAGACTATCAATTTCTTTGTTAAAAAAATTATTGAAAATTGATAATTCTCAAAATTAGCCAATTTTGCCCTCAGAAATCATTATGTTGAGGAAAAAATAAAAATCTGAAACTTTCAGGAAATGTAGTCCCCACCTTCATCTTTTCAGTCCAGTTAGTCTTGTTTTGTTATTTTTATTCCTTTAAAAGATATATTAATTTTTTTAATGGCCGTTTAGTAGCGATATTGTTAGTTTTATTTATAATTTAAAATTTAGATGGCTTTGACTTTGTCAATTCATGTTTGGTAGAGAAATGTCAGAGCTGTCAAAAATATTTCATAAATTTTATTTGTGTGTATTTAAATTGTAATTTCAAAAAGTTTGCAAGTTTGCAAGTGTAAGAAATGACGGAGTGTTCGAGATTCATGAATTTAAGCATTTAAAAATGCAAGAACATATCATAATTTTGTACCTCTTTCTTATAGAAAATATTTAGGTTCTGAGAAGTTTTAAATTGTTAAAAATAAGCAAAAACCAAAAAATATTCTAAATAAACCCCTTTATTACAACATGTTTTGTTTTAACCAGTTACCTAAAAACTAAAATTTAAAGAAGTATTTACAGATTGTGTAAATTTTTTCCAACACTAGCATTTAAAATACATACATTTAACTTTTAACTATTTAGTGCCTTACTAAAGGGATCAAAATAATAGAACAAGACTAACTTGGTTTAAATTGTGCACAATTTCATGAAAGAAACCGACAAAAAACTGCTTAACGCATTTTTTATACGTTTAAATTAACTCTTTCACTTATTATACTTAACGATATAAACCATAAGGATCTTAAATATATTTTTTACATTCTTCTTCTTTAAACACCAATTAGCCAATTGAATACTTCATTATAATGTATATAATATATAATGTATATAATATATAATCATATACATATATGTCCTATTATTATATATATCCTTATGTATATGATTTTTCAATACATAAAATATAACATAACTACAAAAAATATCAGAACTCTCAAAAATATTTCATAATTATTATTTGTGGTATTCCTTTGGTGATTTTAAAAAGTTTTATATATAACATAATATTACATATTATGTTATATACAAAATTTAACAAAGAAATACGCACAAATAATATTTAAGAAATATTTTTGACAGTTCTGACACTTCTCCACCAAACATGAAAGCCATCTAAGTTTTAAATTATAAATAAAACTAACAATATCGCTACTAAACGGCCATTAAAAAAATTATTATATCTTTTAAAGGAATAAAAATAACAAAACAAGACTAACTGGACTGAAAAGATGAAGGTGGGGACTACATTTCCTGAAAGTTTCAGATTTTTATTTTTTCCTCAACATAATGATTTCTGAGGGCAAAATTGGCTAATTTTGAGAATTATCAATTTTCAATAATTTTTTTAATAAAGAAATTGATAGTCTAGAAACTTAAAATAATAGTTACGTTTTCTATTGTATAAGTACTTTATACCTGAAAAAAATGAACCTTTTAAATTCAGTAGAATAGGCACAGGAGCCAGACAAAAATCACAAAAATTGTCAAATTATCATGAATCTTTAGTGGTTTACCATTCTTTTATGAGATTAACTAATTGGATAAAAATAATTTATATCGAAAACACACTTACTGGACAGTATAACAAAATTAAAATTATTTCAATATTTTTCACAGAAAAAAAGTTCTGGCCCACTATAAGAGAGTAAGAAATTGACACTATTTCAGATTTCTCAGGGGTGCCAAACAAAAGTAAAGCATCAAAAAATTAAAACGGCAACGGATTTTCATATTTGACACCTAAAAGATCATCCTCAAATTTTTTCATCAAAATAAAAAATCACGCAGCGCACCCCATTTGGTGTTTTTATTTGGAATGACTCTATAGTAATTTATTTTCAATAAAAATTTTGGTATACTGAGGCTTCTTGATTTTTAACAGTTTAAAAAAAACATTTAATGATGACATTTCGAATGCGAATATTTCAGAAACAGTTGAATTTAGGTATATGGTTTGTTATATAAATTATGCTCAGAATTTTACAAGGAATCGAAAAATAAATTCATATATAGGGTGATCCATTGAAAAAAAATAAGCTTTATGTTTTTCCCTGTATACTGATCAATTTTAAAATTTTCTTTATACGTAGAAAAAAAATATTTTTTAGTTCCTACATAACCACACTTTTAAATGTTTTGGGACACTTAAAATAAAAAAGTTAAAGAGGGGCGACATTATAAGGGTGATCCCCTACGTGTAAAATTTGAACATTTTCAGAAAAATTGACTTTTGCATTTTTTCGTATTACCCTTTTAATAAAATGTCAAAAATTAAAAAGTCAATTTTTCTAAAAATTTCCCAATTTTTCCGTTTTTTCCGGAAAAACGGTTTTTTTTTTCCGCCGGCTCAATTTTTCCGGAAATTGTAAAACCCTAGTTGCAAGACTGTGGCCGCAATTCATGAAAAAAAGACTGGTCAATTTTTTTACATTTTTTTAGAGATGGGAAAATTCCCATTAAAAAAAAATATTGCGGAATGAGTTTTTTGTGCCAGGATTGCAAAATTATATTACACATTACCTTTTTGTCAAATTTTATTAGGAAAAAATAAAAAAAATTGTTTATATGAATTGTATACATAATGCTTTGTATACTGAAACTTAAAAAATAATACTATCAGAGATTCACTACTAGTGAATCACTAGATATTACATAAAAAAATATAATGGAACAAAGTAACCATATAGGAATATTGAAAAGTAAAAGATACTAAAAATAGTATTGCAGTTCTGACCAATAAAATATAAAAAAAACTGGAGGCAAAATAAAATCAACAATTTTTACTACCATTACCCATAAAAAACAATTGCAAAAGCAAAATACAAAATAGGAATTATGTTCAAACAAAAAGAATAAAAGTGTTATTCCCGTAATTTAAACTTGTAAAAATTGTAACTTATGAACTAAATCTACAAAAATGGCATTAGTTAAATTCGATGTACTGCTTTTATGCAAAGGTTTTTTTGCAAACGATTTATGAATTGTGATAATGAGATCTTCAACAAGCTATAGTTTTTCATAGAACATAACTAATACTATACTTCTTCTTTAAATTAACTTCTTCTTATTCAGTTTCTTGGCCTTAACTTCGGAAATCAGCTGTTAAAAAATTGAGATTTATATAAAAAAAAACAGGGAAAGTTTCCGTTTGTTAAAAAAAAAGACATTTTCTTAGAGATGGGAAAATTCCCATTTGACGAAAATTCCCGAAAAAATAAATAAATTGTTAATATGAACGTATACATAATGCATTGTAAGAAAAACTGAAACTGTTAACTATCTGAAGAAAATATAATGGAACAAAGTAATTTTATAGGAATATTGAAAAGTTAAAGATACTAAAAATAGTATTGCAGTCCTGACCAATAAAATATAAAAAAAAACTAGAGGCAAAATAAAATAATAAAAAAGCGAAAAACACAAAATAGGAATTTTGTTCAAACCAAATGTTTTTCCCGAAATTTAAACTGTAAACTTGTAAAAATTTTAACTTAAGAACTAAATCTACAACAATGGCATTATTTACATTCGATGTACTGCTTTTTTGCGCTATTTTGAAATAATTCCAAATATTTTTCCAAAGATTTTTCTCTTGTACAGTTGTATTCAATAAAAAAGCGTACAAGAATTAGAATGAGAGAAAACTGTCAAAATAATATTATTGCTTAAAACCGGCTTATCACTGACATAAGTCATTAAAATAATTACTATAGGTTATAAAGAGCATTGACGTCGTAGGTTAATTAAATAATATTACAAAAATTATTAATTTTTAATATAGATTTTTTATTTCTATTATACCACGGTACGAATTGACCATTCTTCTTCGATTCTTGATACTATTTGAGCCTTTTAAACTGACGAGGCATTTTTATTTTCTACTGTCAGTTATAGTGACTTAAGTCAGTGGAAAGCCGGTTTTACGCAATAATGTTGACAGTTTTCTCTCATTCTAATTCTTGTACGCTTTTTTATTGAATACAACTGTATGACACTTTCTTCACTTTCGAATCGAATTTGTCAGATACAGTTGTATTCAATAAAAAAGCGTACAAGAATTAGAATGAGAGAAAACTGTCAAAATAATATTATTGCTTAAAACCGGCTTATCACTGACATAAGTCATTAAAATAATTACTATAGGTTATAAAGAGCATTGACGTCGTAGGTTAATTAAATAATATTACAAAAATTATTAATTTTTAATAGATTTTTTATTTCTATTATACCACGGTACGAATTGACCATTCTTCTTCGATTCTTGATACTATTTGAGCCTTTTTAACTGACGAGGCATTTTTATTTTCTACTGTCAGTTATAGTGACTTAAGTCAGTGGAAAGCCGGTTTTACGCAATAATGTTGACAGTTTTCTCTCATTCTAATTCTTGTACGCTTTTTTAATGAATACAACTGTACCTATAAACAAACAGGAAAAACGTTGGAATGATTTTAACTTTGTTTATTTCTTTATTGTTTTTATTGTTTTGCAAACGATTTATGAATTGTGTGATAATGAGATCTTCAACAAACTATAGTTTTTCATAGAACATAACTAATACTATACTTCTTCTTTAATTTAACACAAATTAACTTCTCCTTATTTAGTTTATTGGCCTTATCTTCGCAAATCAGCTGTTAAACAATTGATATTTACATAAAAAACATGGAAAGTTTCCGGGAATGTAACTTTAAAATAAACTTTCAAAACGAAAATAAATTCCCGACTTTCCGATTGCCATCTCTATTTTCTATCGTGATTTTTTGTAGACGTATTCGAGGACTTCGTATCTCCCGTATCGGCCGCCCAAACCCTCCTGCATTCCTGCTGCCGCAAGCGCAAAGAGATGCTCCAGAAAACGATGATATTCCTCACGCAGGTGCTGACGAACCCTGCCACCGAACCGCCGCAGAAAGACGGCGCCCTGCACATGGTCGGCTCGCTGGCCGACATACTGCTCAAAAAGAAGGAGCTCAAAGAGCAACTCGACCAGCTGTTCTTGAAGTACGTTTTCCCGGAGTTCCAGAGCGACCGCGGCCACATGAGGGCGCGCGCCTGCTGGGTGCTCCACTACTTCGCCGAGTTCCCCTTCAAGCAGGAGCAGGTGCTGGTGGAGGCGGTCAACTTGACCACGCACGCCTTGAGATTCGACAAGGATTTGCCCGTCAAAGTGGAGGCGGCCATCGCGCTGCAGTCGCTGCTCAACTATCAGCAGAGGTCGCACAAGTACCTCGAAGCGCAGGTCAAGGAGATCGCTTTGGAGCTGCTGACCATCATCAGGGAAACGGAGAACGAAGACGTGACCGGGGTGATGCAGAAGTTGGTGTGCGTGTTCACGCATCAGTTGGCCCCCATCGCGGTGGAAATTTGCCAGCATCTCGCGAACACGTTCGTGCAAGTTTTGGATACCGACGAAGGTTCCGATGAGAAGGCGATCGCCGCCATGGGGTTGCTGAACACCATCGAAACCATCTTGACGGTCATGGAGGAACAGCCCGAGGTCATACAGCTGTTGGAACCCATCGTGCTACAGGTGAGTTCATTAACGCAAAAACACTGTTTTTTTCTTCTTTATTTAAATCGGATTTTAATCGGTTATTAAACGAGAAATTTTTTTAAATTTTTAGTTGACTTTTTTGTATTAAAATACCAATTATACAGGCTGTTCCAACATAAAATTTTACTGGTGAATTTTGGACACGTCAATTTTTATTTCAAGGGAATAGAATTTAAATAAACGCTTCACGCCCCCAAAATCTTAAATTGCATGGGGGGTTGAGTGACATATCCTTTTAAAGATATTTTAATTCCCAATAAGATTCTGTAATTTTAAAAATCTGTCAGTTAGTTTTTGAGAAATTGCTATTTGAATTTTCAAATTAGGTAAATTAAAAAAAGATTACGAATGGATTGCTCAAAGTGATTCCCTCCAACTTCCATGCAATGGTACAGACCACAGACCTACAAACAGACGTTTAAAATGGCAAATGTCAAAATGACAGCTGTCAAGATGACAGATCTTAAAATAAAGGATGTCGAAAGAACGGGCGCCTAAATGACAGGTGCCAAAATGTCAATGGCAGGCTGCCATTGGCAGCGTTCATTGAAATTCTTCCCCCTAGAAATAAAAATTGAAATTTTCTCAACATTCACCCGTCAAAAAGTTTGGGAGGTACAAGTTTTCGTTGGAACACCCTGTATGTTGACCCAAGTGTGGTATAATTTAACCCTTTTTTTTAAATTTAAATTCAACCAAAACATTGTATAGAAACATATTATTTAAGTTGTAAATGGGCAGAAGGACCTGAGACTTTTTACCTAGTTTTTTTTTTAATTCAACAACAGACAAAAAATATTTATTATTTATTTAAAAAAATCAATATAAAGTATCCTTAAAACAAATAAGATATTATTTGAAATAACATATCTAATAATACACTGCGCGTCAAAATTAACGCATAATAAGTAAAAAAAATATCTCTAAAACGCCTTTACCAATCTTAATGAAATTTTGTATAAAAATACTTTAACTTATATCTGAGTTTACGTGTTCGAGGGTTTTTCGAGAAAATATTTTTAAGGCTCTTTTATTTAATAATTAAAAAGACGCTCGAAAAATAACTTTAAGGAAATTTTTTTAAGTAAATAAAAAGTATGCTGTTAAAGACCGTATTTTTGTTAGTATACCCTGAAAATTTTGTGCACATTAAACGAACAGTAACGAAGATACATCGGTTCAAAGTCGGTAAAAATGACCCCTTTTTTATTATTTTGCTGAAAAGTTGTCATTTTTGACGACTTTGAAGCGCTGTATTTTTGTTACTGTTCGTTTGATTTGTACAAAATTTTCAGGGTATACTAACAAAAATACGGTCTTTTACAGCATATTTTTTATTTACTTAAAAATAAATTTACCTATAAAAGGTTTTTTTTGAGCATTTTTTATTATTAAATAAAAGGGCTTTAAGGATATTTTCTCGAAAAACCCTTGAACACGTAAACTGAGTATGAGTTGAAGTATTTTTATACAAAATTTTAATAAAGATTGGTAAAGGCGTTTTAGACTTGGATTTTTGTTAATTCGTCACCTGAGAATTATAGTGTTCTATCTGCATTTTCTTTTTTTTATTCAGGTTAGTCTTGTTTTAAGTATTAAAGATGCATATTGTTCTATCTATATATAATTGGGGTAGAAATTGTACAGTTTAAGCCTTAAACTTTACAATTTCTACCCCAATTATATATAGATAGATCAATATCATCATTAAGACTTAAAACAAGACTAACCTGAATAAAAAAAAGAAAATGTAGATAGAACACTATAATTCTCAGGTGACGAATTGTTAGGCGCTAATTTTGACGCGCAGTGTATAAATGTATTGACTCAACAATAAATTTCTATTTTTTTTTAGAAAACTAGGTATATAGTAGAGGATCCCAAGTAAGGTCGACCTTCACCCATCTGCTTACCAGATGAAAATTATATTTTATCAAATAAAATATGTTTCTGAACATAAACCAATAGGGTTGCCATAAAAAATATGATCATGGCTAGCTATAATAAATAAAAAATTTAAAAAAAATAATTAATTTTTTAAATTTCACCGACTTGCTTGCCAAATGAACGAAATTCCAATGGAAAGCATACAACATACAGAATATGTAACAGCTAGGTTGCCTACCTTTTTCTGGTCCCTATTACCTGGTTGCTTTGTACAGGGTGATCCCCTATAATGTCGCCCCCCTTTAACTTTTTTATTTTAAGTGTCCCAAAAAATTTAAAAGTTTGGTTATGTAGGTACTAAAAAATACTTTTTTTCTACGTATAAAGAAAATTGTAAAATTGATCAGTATACAGGGAAAAACAAAAAGTTTATTTTTTTCAATGGATCACCGTATATATGAATTTATTTTTCGATTCCTTGTAAAATTCTGAGCATAATTTATATAACAAACCATATACGTAAATTCAACCGTTTCTGAAATATTCGCATTCGAAATGTCATCATTAAATGTTTTTTTAAACTGTTAGAAATCAAGAAGCCTCAGTATACCAAAATTTTTATTGAAAATAAATTACTATAGTGACATTATGTCAATAAGTGTTGTTAAATAAGTAAAAATGGCGTACTCAGACAGAGAAAGACAAACTATTTCAACTTATTATCTTAAAAATAATTTAAATATTTCAGAAACGGTTGAATTTAGGTATATGGTATGATATATGAAATATGCTTAGAATTTTACAAGGAATCGAAAAATAAATACATATATAGGGTGATCCATTGAAAAAAATAAACTTTTTGTTTTTCCTGTATACTGATCAATTTTCCAATTTTCTTTATACGTAGAAAAAAAGTATTTTTTAGTTCCTACATAACCACACTTTTAAATTTTTTGGGACACTTAAAATAAAAAAGTTAAAGGGGGGCGACATTATAGGGGATCACCCTGTACAAAGCAACCAGGTAATAGGGACCAGAAAAAGGTAGGCAACCTAGCTGTTACATATTCTGTATGTTTTATGCTTTCCATTGGAATTTCGTTCATTTGGCAAGCAAGTCGGTGAAATTTAAAAAATAAATTATTTTTTTAATTTTTTATTTATTATAGCCATGATCATATTTTTTATGGCAACCCTATTGGTTTATGTTCAGAAACATATTTTATTTGATAAAATATAATTTTCATCTGGTAAGCAGATGGGTGAAGGTCGACCTTACTTGGGATCTTAGACTAATAGTATACAACTATTATACAGTGTGTATTAAAACGAATAGATAGATACACTTAAATAAAACAAGTGCCAAACCCCGCTTACTGTGTTAGGGATAGGGTATTGTTTAACTGCTGCTATTTGAACATTTAATTTAGAAAAAAAGTTATTTTCGTTATTTTAGAATTATTTTTGTTTGAGAATTTATAGGTTTTATTTTTATCGAATTCGTTTGTTTTGTTTTAATGCATTTCTGCAAATAAAAACTAGTATTGTTTAAAATCCATTAAATTCCAGTTAATGGCGAAAATGTATTTCTTAAAAACTATACACATTTCCCTACGACAGCGTCGGAGCTACTGAACAAACACAGCTGCATTCCGCGCTGTTGCCATATGCTATTATTGTTTCCTAAAAGGGTTGTTTTTCTTATTTTTTAATATTAATAGTAAGAAAATTAACTAAATCAAATTATTTTTGACACATTATTATTTTTTTTGTTATTTTTAAAGTTTCAAACAAATAAAATTGAACTATTTATTAAATAATTATAATCGTTCTCTTCTAAATTAAAACAACATGGCAACTATGGTTCGTAATTACGAATGGCTTGGTTTAAACCACGCCCAATTAAAGTTTGTTTCTTTTTTTCTGATCAGAATATAATTTGTCATCCTTGTCTCCAGCCTTACTTACTTGATTCTATACAGTCTGTATACAACAGAATAAACTATATTTTCTCTATTATTATTATTATTATCATTATTATTCAGTATTCAAATACCTTAGTTTTTCCGACTTTCCTGTTCCAAATTTTGGTTCATATTTTGCTGTGCAGAAGATTAAAGGAAGAAAAATCTCGTTCGACCCATTCCAAAGATGTTATTGCAGTATGCAGTTACTTGATAATATTAAATGTAATTTTTTATAGTGAGGTAATAAATTCTAGAGCGGAGTCTTTTTTCCTGAGGTATTTTTGGGCTTTATAGTATGCCAAAACTGAGTTGGTGATATAACTTTCATATCTTTTTATTAATTTTTATTTGAACTGAGCTCTTACGGAATTTATGTCTGAGGACTCTAGAAGCCAAGGGGTATAAGTACATTTCGTTCAGTTTTGAGATAATCATGTTTAAAGTAAAAAAAACACTTGTAATTTGGAGTCAACATTGTTTATTGTTTAATGACTTTGTTTTTCAAGATTTCTAAGCTTAGAATTCAGTTATATCCCTTGCATACCAAGTAAAATGTACCATTTAGTATATTTTTTGTACATAACTACATTTTTTTTAATGTCACTTTTATCCCTTGGCTTCTAGGGACCTCGTATGAGATCTTTCCACAGTCGCACAGTGTTTCAATTCTGGAAAATATCGGCAAAACCTCAAAAATTGACATTTTTTTCAGTTAAATTTTGAGTTAGATGGGTAGTTAATACCTGTCTCCATTCTGTATTGAAAAAAAATTATATAAAATACGTATATTTTGTCTTGTATATCAGTTTAAACTTGACGCTTTCAGTTGAAGATACTTTACACGCGATCGCTGCGAAAAATTGTTTATTGTTTAAAAGTGAATAACTTGTGTTTGGTGTGTCCGATTGTTATGCGGTTTGATGAAGGGTGATCTTCAAGGTATCTAAAATTCAGATATGTATTTGTTTTACGTAGATTTTGCTTGTATAGCGGGTAATTGTAACCGACAAGATCGGTCTGTTAAAATCGCAAACTTTGAATAGAGCTTTTAGAACAATGGAGCTACAAAAATTGTAATGAATTGTAAGGCATCAGTTCAAGATCCGTTGAATAGCTTAGAGTTTTGTCTATCAAGCCATTAAAAAATTAGCTGCCCCAACTTGCCCCCCGCTCTTTAAAACTACATGTTCTTGGGCGCTCAGGCACGGTTGTGGTAAAAAAACCTCGCGATTTTAAGCCTATGTCGAGCGCGTATCTGTGTTTTTACTTTACAAAATATAAGATTTTTTTTAATTTCTGGGTTGCGTTCATGACGTTTACTCAATTCACTCGGATTTAACTTAAAACGTTTATTACAACAGCGGTTTCTAGACTTTCACTTGCGTAAATCGTTCGTGACTACTAAGATATTTAACACCGATTTTACATATTTAACCCACCTCTTGTAGGTGCGTTAAAACAACTCCGTATGCGCATTATAGTGTGTTAATGTCAAATTTGAATTGTGGTTATTTGTGTTGACAATTTTTTTGGCGAATTAAGAAATCGTTGCTAAAATATTAAGTAAAAGAAATAATACATATTTAAAATACTTATTATAAAATCTGTGGTATTTAAATTTTATAAATAAATTTTGAAAGTTTCTCGGGAGAAAACGATGGAAGATGTTTTCAATTGGCTTATGGCATCTTCCGGATTGTATATTTCTAGCTTCAGAAAATTTGCTCCGAAAAAGAGCAAATCTTTGTCCCGCGAAGCAATAAAACTGTTGCTATCTTCTGATGGTTTCCCATGCTCTGCTAATGATACAACGAGCGAATACAGTGACGGAGATTGTTTAATATATATGTAGGAATTAAATAATATTATATAAATGTAATTATAATAAACTAAATTAAGCTATTTTATAAAAAGATGTTTTATTACATTTTAAAAAGAACCTCTTACGGGTTTTTAATTAATTTCGACAATATTTGATAAAAATGTCCTCCATTTGAGGTCCACCATTTTGAATTTTGGAATTCTGATTCCAGATTCGTTATCAGCGACCCTAAAAACCTCTATTTACGGATTTTTAGGAGAATCCGACTACTCCTTGATATTTTGCCGAAAATTTCGAGAATTGAAACACTGTGAGTCGGCCAAAAACACTTATCAACTTGTATTTTATTGGCTACTGGTTTCAGTTTGATAAAAAATTTTCAGTCATTTTTTTATACCCACATTTTGTACTCCTACAGTACTCATGTTTTAAACAGAAAACTTAAGGAGTTTGGAAGAACCAAATTATTATAATTTATATATACATAAAGTATTTTTACCATGTAGTAGGCATAAAACAATTTATGAAAATTCAACTGGTAAATAAATAGTCGGTCTACATTGTAAACCAATTAAGGGGTTACATACAGTTAGAATTTTCAAAAAATCGATTTTGTTTTTATTTTATTTTCTTAACGTGCATATATTTAAGAATACACACAGAAAATTTCATATCGTTCCGGTGAATATTTTCAAAGTTACACGCAAATTTGAAAAGGCGTTTCAGAGTGCTTGGAAGTACAAGGAGCGGCAGCGACTACCCTTTTATGCACCTGCCTATTGTAAATGCTCCCTTTTAATGTATTTAGATGTGTAAATCAACAGTGTGAACAGGGTGTATTATATGGGCCTGGAATAGACGACTCCATGTAAAAAAAAATTATCCCATGTAAACTTTAAACGCGTTTTTCTCAGAATGGTGTTTTCAAAGTCGGTGACCAACATTATAGTCGCGGCCAAATCTGTATGGGTGCACGTCATCAACGGCATATGACGTCAGCGTTAAGGTCTATTCATACGTGCCCAGACACAATCTAACGCTCGTGTATTGTTGACTGTTTATAGCGGTGGGGGCTGTTATTAAGATGGAATTATAACGTCCTTGTTATAATCTTCTGCACTAACTAATTAGGAGTTTGTTACAGGCAAATTTTTATTAAATGTGTTTAAAGAGAAAACAAAAGGAGTTTATTACATTTTTATTACATATGCACATAACAAAAAAATACTAAATTATCAGAAACACAAAAATATTAAATTACCAGTCGTCCTTGTCATCAGAGCAAACCAGGTCAGAATTGAAGTCTGATTATTTCCCCAAATTTATTATTAAGGGCGCAATGTCTTCGAAATCTAATAACGGCTAGTTGCCAACAAGCCTTATATCATTGTTTGCACAATCCAGGGATAGAATCTTATAAACATAATGTATAATATTATTTATAATAATTTGCTACAAATGATGCTTCCGGACGAAATGTCACAATTACAAAAATACGTCAAATATAAAATGACAGCGACCCATCAATAATATTGAACGGTGCGCGCCAGCCTTAAGCTATTACCAACTGGCACACACAAAAATTACTAAGTGAATGGTTTTATTTTGATAATTTCCTAAAAAAACGTTTTAAAACAAGGAAATTTTTTCAGTTCTTGGTAAACAATACGCAAATGAATGATTTCTTTTTAATAACACATCAGAATTACGCCTTAAAAAAGCAAATTTAACGGCAGTAACTTTACAATTCAAAGTTGGTAATGCTGACGTCATAATATCTCATTGATGACGTGCACCCATATAGATTTGGCCGTGACTATACTCGAAAACGGCTAAACCGATTAGTCTCAAATTTTAACACGAGCTTCTTAAATATATTTTTTAGTAATTAATCGAAGATTTTTTCTCTCCGATAAATATTTTTGTTTTTATAAACAATTTAAGGCCGAAATTTCGGTGAAAAATCGTTTTTTTTTTTTGAGAAACCGCCATTTTGTCAAAAAATTTTATTTTGCTTATTCCTTCGATTAATTACTAGATTTAACATTACTTTAACGAAATCTGTTTGGTTTTTTAAATTCAGATGATCCAGTTCAGAGATATAGTGGTCACCGCAAAACGTCTTTTTTGAGAGGAGCTCCCGGAGATCAGCTGTAGCTCTTTTCCAAATAAATATTTTTACTAGTACTAAGTCTTAAAATATAGTTAAAAGATACCATAATATGTGTATAAATTTTTGGATCAATAAATTTAAAAGTTTTCTCAGAAAAACTTCTGGAAAATTCACTTTTTTTCGGCCTTCTAACTGTATATAACCCCTTAAGTAAAACTTTCTTTGAACGGATCAAACCAAACGTATTAAAGAACCCAATTTAAAATCTCAAAATATCTTTTTTGCAGGTAATTGCGCACGTGTTGCAACACGAACTGCAAGAATTCTACGAGGAGGTGCTCGACTTAATCTACGATTTAACCAGCAAGCAAGTGTCGCCCGACATGTGGAAGGTGTTCGAGCTGATGTACCAAGTGTTCATGAAAAACGGCATCGACCATTTTACCGACATGATGCCCGCTCTGCACAACTACGTGACCGTCGACACCGACTCGTTCCTCTCGAACGAGCAACGTCTCCTGGCCATCTACAACATGTGCAAGGAAATTTTGAGCAAGGATTGCGGCGAGGATCCGGAATCGCACGCTGCCAAACTTTTGGAGATTGTTTTGTTGCAGTGCAGGAAGAAGATCGACAGTGCTGCCCCCATGCTTGTGGAACTTGCCGCCAGCAGACTACTCAGGTAAGAGTCTTTAATTGAATTGGTATTTTTGCTGCCTACTTTCTGGTTTAGTTAAAACCCAAGCAACACAGAATGGTATATTAAACGTTTAAAACGATCTACTACCATCCGTCACTTCGTCGTATATGTGAAACGTATTATAAACTGCAGAATGTCCGCGACTTCAACGTATATATACAGATTTCTATATTCATTTCATTAACGTATTTACATATATGATTTTTTTTATGAAATGGTAAACGTATATTAGCAGTTTACATTTACAGGTTTTACACGTATTCCAAATACGTTTATTAAATGTTATGTATTATATAAATTTATACGTATACCAAATACGTGTATTAAATGTTATTTTTCCTTATTCATTTATACGTATAATGAAAGGGTTATTTTTCTTTTTCGTAACCTTTTAGACAAAAAAAAAGAAGGTAAATTCTCACTTAATTTTATTCGAAAAATACATTTTCGTCTTAAAATTAAGTGAGAATTCACCTTCTTCTTTTTGTCAGAGAGGTTAGGAAACACCCTGTATAAACTATAAAATGTATTAGTCCTTAAGTGACCTAAAATAATTAAAAAGTTTGTTCTTACTGCACGGTACTGAAATAACAACTCGTATACAAAAAACAAAACATATATTCTTTAAATAAACAAATTTGTTGCACAAATGTGACAAGGAAACAAAGTTATAACTTATAATAAAAATAACGTATCTACGGGTTTTACATTTTTTCTCTGTTATGCGGATGCCGGTGTTTGCTTAATTTCAGCCAGTCTTTTATCGCTTGGGATATTACAGAATCGTTCAAATCAAGAGGTTCTCTTCCTGAATATGAAAATTTTACAGCTTCTAAAAAATGGAAAAAGAATATAAATAATTAGTAGGTAGTACTTGCCATTAATAACTCCAGCTATTGTTGTTATACTAAATGGACATAATTATGAATAATTAATGTTAATTATGATAAATTAATTAAGAAATACCTACCACCTAGAAAGATAGGTACCTATATGAATTAACAAAAAAACAGAAGAAAATTTTAGAAATAACTCCAGAATATTAAAAATAAAAAATTGAAAAAGGAAAAAATTAAAAAATATAAAAATATTTTTATTGCGACAATTTTTTTAATTACATATTTTAATATGTATAAAGAATACTTTCTTTTGTATACAAAAGAAAGTATACTTTATACATATTACATAGTATATATACTTTTTTTTGTTAAAAATTTAAAATTAATAAGACAATTAATTATTTAAAAGTTTATTACAAAGACGTTTAAAAAAATATTTTTCTAAATTTACCTTACGAACAAATATTAGTTTACATTGTAAACTAATATTGGTTTTAATTTAATTTTGAAATGGGGTAAATATTTAAAACATAAAAAGATTCTAAATTTTAGAACAATAAAAATTATATGGTAAAAAAATAATAATTATAATTATAATTATCATTGTTTATTTACTACTTATATCATATTTTTATTGTTTTAAAATTTAAATATTATAATTATTTTTAATATTCTAAAACTTAATATTTTTTTATTTTAAAAATATATAAATAAAAAAGATAAAAGTTTAATGGTCTGGCACTTTAAAAACATAATTAATTTAAAAAAAAAGAAAAAAAGTTTTTATATTTTCCGGCACCCAAATTTTTCGGAAATTTTGAATCTCTAGTATAGAAAACTAAAATTTCCTGCATACGGTCACCCTTTTTAACAGGCAGTATGTAAACGGTATACAGTATACAGTATATATACGTATACGAAACCTTTACTTGACACTAAAAAATCGTTTAATTTATTTGACTTGCCAAATTTTAACATATAAAGATAAAAGTACCTACATGAATGCATTCATGTAAAGTTAAACAAAAGCTTCTAAAAGATAAATTAAAAACTTACCCTCAACTCCTTTTCCAAAAGATAAAAAGAACTAACCCTTAAATTTGTTATCCACGTGTAGTAAGATACTTGCCTTCTTTTTTCTTCTGTAATCGAATAAAACCATGTATAAAAACAACAATTGAATACAGCAAATCTTTTTTAAAGTATTTAGGCACACTTACCTAGGTAATTATAATAACTTTGCAATGCCTGGAGCCCGGCGTTTTCACTTCACAACAGGCTTTTCTTACAAAATGACGCCACGGGCGGAACCTGTAGCTGTTTGGGTTAAGACGCGACATCATTGGGTAAATTTAATCATGTGACTAAATTTTGCAGTGTTCAATATAGGTTTTGTACACGTATACTGTATACGGTATACAGTATACCGTTTATATACCAGATTGTGTAGTGTGGAAAATAGGTATACTTTATACCATTTAAGTACAAAATTTAAACACGTGTTATATACGTTTTTAAAATTTAGTTTTTTTAAATAATTTCTTAATTACAGCTCAAATTTATCCGATATTCACAAAACAAGTTTTGTAAGGGCCTATCATACTTTTCGAGTCAGAACCATTAAAAAATTAGGCTTTTATTTGACTTCGTGTCAAAAATGGAATATTATATACATATAATATATGTTTCTTATATACGTTAAAAAAAGTAATATATTTTTTGCTATAATATACGTATATGTTACGATAAATTCATCATTTAACTGAAGTTAAAGTCCTATAATATCCGTATATTATACGTTTCATATAAAAAAGTAATATGAAAAACGTATATTATTTATACCTTTGAAATGTTATACGGTTTTTATACGAACAATACGTTTAATAAACGTATATACTACAGAGCCGTGTTGCTTGGGAACTGGAGATGTTTTGTGACAAAAAATATGTTTTTTGGTTCTTTTCACATTTCATCTTTTTTTAAACGAATTTTGCCAACATTGTACGCGAATGTATCAAATCGAATCGTTTATTTTTACCCCAAACGAATACATTTTTATATAGGTATATCCTCTACAATAATAAACAATACTATAGTAAATTTAAAAGTAAACTACGTACACGTCATCAATCAGCTGATCGGGCACGGTTGTCAATGTAATGCTAAAATCCTTGCATCAAGGGAAAGTGGTAGTGCAACTACAGGGCGATAGATGGCGTTTACATGAATAATACCAAAATGTCAAAAGTCTGAGTTTTTATAACCTATATGATGCACCGCCAAAAGTATGTTTTTAGCCATTTTTAAAGACATTTTCTGATATAAAACCCAAAAATTTTGCCATCTAAAGTCAGTCTCTGGTAGGTATATATATTATTATTTTATGTATCCAACATATATTTTGTTAAATATTCCAATATATAATTAATAATAATCCTATTTACCTCTCTAACAGCTGTTAAAGGTAACAAAGGTCCATTATTATCCCGTTCTGCCTCAAAATAGCGTATTAAGGATGACACCAACTCTTGACTCCGACTATTTAAATGCTTCGGCATTTTAAATATAGGAAACACAAAAAAACGATATATAACAAACACAAAAACGGCAATGAAAACTTAAACGATATAAAATAACACAAACAACAAACAAAATAAACGAAATAATACACGAATTAAACGAAATATTCAAAAACACAACTGACAGCTTCGAAATTCTGAAACGTCAAATTCTTTTTTATGTGTCATTTAAATATGAAATATTTGAATGTAAATATGACAACATGTTAATTGTTGCCAACTGAAGATGTTTAAAATGCATTCAAATATTCAATTACAGACTTCGATTTAGTCATTTAGTGTTGGTACCAATGCGTAAAATTTTTGTTTTATTGATGACGTGTACGTAGTTTACTTTTAAATTTACTATATAACTATTTATTAATAAAAATACTCCTACATATTCAATACCAAATTGGCCACTTTTGATCCAGATACCTTTTGATTTGGCTGAAACTTTTTTATCTTTTCCTATAAAAACATTTTTCAGGATTTTTTCAAATTTCAACAAAAAAAATTATTTTTTAAATCTATAATTTTTTCAAAAATTTACTTATCGGGACGGTTTTGTTTTCAAAATTTTTATTTTTAAATGTACTTTTCAGAAAAATAAAAATAAAGATTTTTGGACCGATTTTTAACGTTTTTTTTTATTAAAAACTATATTTCAAATATCTATAACTTTTTCTTTTTTTATTAGAAACTGATATTTTCTGTAAATTCTCGAAAATTTTTAAAGTAGCGTTTTTTTCGTATTTTTTTTTCTTTAACTGGATTTTTTTTAACTTTAATTATAATACAACTTGGGGATTTTTTAAAAATGTAGAGAACCTCAAAGTTTGAAAAAAAAAGTAATTAATGAAATTTTTTTTACCTAACTGAAAAGAAGTTATGAATGGCTCTTTATTTTTCAAAATTTTTATTTTTAAATGTACTTTTCAGAAAAAAAAGTTTAGTTTTTTTTTAATTTTCGGAAAGAAAATTCCCTGATGTTTTTGATTTTTTTTCTTTTTTTTATTAGAAATATTTTGCAAATTTTCAGTGGCGTTTTTTCTTTTTCTATTCTTTTAATTTTTTTTAACATGGCTTATTTTTTATAATGAAATTTCTTAAAAATTTTTGCCCAACCAAAAAGTTACAAATGGCTCTTTATTTTTGAAATATCTATAACTTTTTCAAAAATTAACTTATCGGACAATTTGCGATTTCGTTGATTGTCATTTTTAATTTTTTTACTTTTTTATTAGAAACTACTGACATTTTCTGCAAATTCTCTGAAATTTTCAATTGAATTTTTATTTAAGTCGGCTTATTTCTCATTTTTTTATTGAAACTTTGAGGTTTTCTCTACATTCTCAAAAATCCCCACTGGTATTATTTTCAAATAAAAAAAATTAGAAAACAAAAATCGAGTTTTTAATAAATATAAATAAAACTAATCATCAAGAAATTTGTGATATTTTCTAAAAAATTAAAAAAAAAACGTTAAAGATCGCTCTGAATAATTTTTTTCTAAATATTTTCTTGAAAAGTATGTACCTTAAATCAAAAGTTTTTAAAAAACGTCCGATAAGTCAATTTTTGAAAAAGTTAAATATTTAAAAAATTAAGAGCCGTTTTTAAAAAGTTATTATTTGATTGAAAAAAATTCAGAAAAATGCTTTTGATAGGGTAGAAAAAAAAATAATCAGCCAAATCTAAAGGGGTTTATTTGGTATGGAAGGCCCCATATATAATCATCTATCATCCTATAAGTTATGCAAATCGTAATGGTTACATTATTCATATATCGCGAATGTTTTTTGCAGAAATTCGCGAGTATTGCCGTTATAATTTTTATCATTCGTAAATTTCTACAGTAAAAAGCTATAAATGTTAAAAAGGTATAAAAATTCGCCGACGACAAATAGTAAAACTTTTCCGACTATTTTAGTTAAAAATTTATTTCATTAAAATTAGGAAATAATTTAATTAAACTACAAATAGATAATTTTAACGAAAAAGTGGAAATACATTCACGCTTGCTTGACAGTGCAGAAAGTAGCAATTTTCCGCACGATTATAGCAAAAAATAATATGCCTAACACTCGCGGAAAGTTGCTTTTTTCCGCACGCTTATAGAAAACATTATTTTTCTACAAATGGAAACTTGCGAGATTTCTTTGCTTATAGAAATAATATTGTACCAAACACGGCAGTCGCGTGAGGAAAAGTGGCACTTTTCGCACTGGTTAAGTAAATAACTATTTCGTTTCAGGAAAGTAAACACTAGCGAATTAAGAACGATGTGCCTGCAAGTCTTAATAGCGGCCTTGTATTACGATCCCGAATTGTTGTTCACCGTTTTGCAAAAAATGCCCGATTTCACTAACCACTTCATTAAGCAGTGGTTGCACGATGCCGACTGCTTTTTGGGTATTCACGACAGAAAATTATGCGTATTAGGTAAGCTAAAAACATTTCCATGCTCATGGATTATTGCAATGTTCTGGAAATGTTTTCAGGCCTGTGTACTTTAATCAGTTTGCCCACCAAACCGCCGACTTTAATAGAGATGGCGCCCAAAGTTGTTCCTAGTTTGATACTTTTGTTCGAAGGCCTCAAGAGGGCGTACGCTGCGAAAGCGGCAGAAGCTGCCGAAGAGGAGGAAAGCGAAAGCTCGGAGGGGGAAATCGACGGAGCAGGTAAGAAAAATACATATTTTAATTTGTACTTTAGTAGAGTAGTAAGCCCATGATTTTCGACGTTTTGATGAAAATTAAAAATAAATGTAAATAATAATCTACTAAGTAGTAGAAAGTTACCACATACATTTTTTGATAAAATTTCATTCATTTATTTACAATGTTTCATAAAAAAAATTGTAGCATTTGATTTAAAAATTATTTTCTTGTAAACTATTTATTGAGAGAATGGTAAAAAATAAATGAAATTAATAATAATGTTTTCAAAAACCTGCTATTATTTTTTTAGATACTTTTTTATACTTTTGTATTAAAAAATGCCAATTTGGCCCTATTCTTTCTAAGAAAATTTATTTTTTATTTTTTATTTATTTTTGTCTGGTAATTTTTAGATATAGAACGATACCGATATTGATATCGGTATATCGGCATATCGGCAATTGTTGCCGATTATCGGTATCGTATCGGCAAGATAATTGCGCTTATCACTCTTTTCAGTGCATAAATAAAATACTTTATTAAACAAAATAAAAAATTTTATTCTAAAGGTAAAATTTTTACTGAAAAGGTAAAACAAATCCTAACTATACTAACAACTATACCTTAATTTCTTGATATTATGATGCAAAAAAACCTACATTTTAGCCCAATCTGCATTTAGTGTATTTCTTTTGGGCTCGTAAATATTCCCTAATTCACTAAAAAGTTGTTCATTTGGCATTTTTTTTCTGCCTTCCACCACTTAAAAGGAGATTTATCTTTTAATAGAGTTATAGATGCAAAATAAAATATTATTTCATTTACAGATATTACACGTCGCTTTTTCGTTTACAGATTTATCTTGTTTCTTATCTTATTTATTTTATCTCCTCTAATTAACAGTCAAGTTTAAAACTGTGTTTTAAAGCACTTCAGAATATAAAGGGCTTTTCGAAATCCGAAATGTCACTCACTATCAATCACAAACGTTTCCTCGCAACGGAATTATAAAACGGGACTTCCCCGATTTTTGCTTCGGTCGTGTATAAATAGATGTCGTTATGTTTGCCGATACGGTATATCGACACGTAATTATCGGTATCGGCCGATATATCGTATCGGCAAAAAAAAGTGATATCGTTCAATCCCTAGTAATTTTTATTGTTGTCGCTTTTTCAAAGCCTCTCCGATACCGTCACAAGCCACTTTTTCGTAAAAGGTCGCAAAAAAGAACCACTGAGCAGTAATCCCAAAATCTTATTGTCATTTTAAATTATTTGTAAAATTAAATTTATTTTTATTCTGCGATGCAAGCCCCATACAATTATATCTTTTATATTTTTATCCGCAACAACAAACAAATGAACCGAGCCCGCGTCGTGAGTCATTTGTTTGTGGGACTATAAAGTATTGGACAAATTTAGTAAAAATTTAAGCCAGTAAAATAATTCCTAAAATAAAATGCAATTATTTTGTTTAAAGCTGAAATTACAAATTATTTCAATTTTTTATTGTAAGGGGTGCGACACTAACACTGTGTTTTTTATGAAAATAAAGTGTTTGTTCAGATATATCAAGATTTGTTAATATACAAAAATAGTATAAAATTATAGAAAACCTTTTAAAACGTCATAAATCGCGTAACTGGCGCGACATTAGAAAATAGGCAAATGCGACCAAGTTGGCTTCCAAAGTTGAACCTGTAAAATATTGGATGAAAGCATATAGTAATAAATAACACATCTAATTTTTTGCTGTGGGGTAAGGTTTCGCGAAAATACCCTATTGACAAAATTGGAGGAACTTGAAAGAAAAAGGGTATAATCCAATATTATTATTTTTTAAATAAAAAAACAGTGTAATAGGTATTAAAAATGTATTATAATAGTGTCGCTTATAATGTGCCTTAAAATAATGTCGCTTTTCGATAAGATTTTTTGCTAAAGCAATTTTGATGGCGCAAAATGGATAAGGCAAAAAAGTATTCAATTTCTTGTCACAGGAGTGAATCAATGTAAAAATACACAGTTTTGGTTAAAAATTTAATAACGAAAAAAAAATAAGAACATACCTAGTTTAAATTAAGAATTTCGTTTAATTAAATATGTCATACGCAGATGCGCAGATGCAGATGCGCCTGTTAACTTGCCGCTTAAACGGTCGCCTGTCAACGTGGCGCGGCGCTGAACAATATTATTTATCATTGACCCAAGGAGTGATCACAAAAATATTTTAACAGTTTCTTAATCTTAAGCTTTCAGAGCTTCTTTCACCTATTATTTTTTTAAAAATTTTTGTAGGAAGAACAGGGCCGAATTAGCATTTTTTATTAAAAAAGTAGCAGTGAAAATGTTATTGTTAATTGCATTTATTTTTACCATTCTCACAACATTTTATTATTTTTTTCGAGGGGTAAACAACGGGCGTAATAGGCGTACAAATTGGATGTAATCTATTACACTTTATTGTAATACCAAGTAATATTATGTAATTGCACGTAATATCACGTAATAGCAGGTAATATCACGTAATATCACGTGATATTTAAGTAATACAACGAAATACTACGTAATACCACGTAATACTTTGAGTAATACGTAATACATAATATGCACATTTTGCGCGTAACGGTGCGCGTCATCTATATTTGAATAACGCTGTATACCGGTAAATTTAATTTGACCTAAAATTCGTATTTTTTCTGGTTTTTAATAAATTTAACCATACCTAGTAAATTTTTAAAAAGTTTGCCATTATAATTTGTTAATAGTTTTAATAGTAAGTATATTCATGATACCTAATCTTTTAACGTAAATTGTACTAACCTAACAAAGCAAAAAAACTAAGTTCAGATCGAATATATAGAGTAAAATCATCTTAAAAATAATTATTAGGATGTTTTTACTCAATATATTCCGTACCATACATTAAGATGTTTTACTCTTTATATTTTATCTGAACTTGGTAATTATTATTGTCTTAATAATTATTGTGCAATAATGTTTTATGTGTATGTATATAAATTAAGGGTTATTTTATAAAGTTTATTTTGCAAAATTTTATTTATACTTGAGATATTAAAAATGGAAAGGTACCTAAATAAAAACCTCAATAAAAACATAATACCTGTTTTTAAAATGTTATGTTTAATCGGTGTATAATTTATTGTTGTAGGCTAAAAAAATCATTATTTACCGTGTTTTAAGTCGAAACTTTCGACCGATCATAAATTTCGATAATAACCTCACTTACTACTTTTAATAATTGTTTCAGAGACGTTTAATAAATATGGAGCAAACTTGCAAAAGCCGATAAATCCATTTTAACTTATTCCGAGATATTGGCCAAAAATGTGTACAGCAGAGTGCCCCAAATATTTAAAAACTATTAAAAGGGAATGTTGCTCCTGTTGGGTTATCTCTGTTTCGGTTTTTACTTAAAATGCTGTGAGTCAAAAGAGTTTACCAAAATAAGTAAGAATCGGTACTATCCTCTTAAAATGTAAAAATGGGTTTATCGCTTTTTGCATGTTTGTTCCACAAATAAAATTGTGCCTTGAAGAAAACATATTTATGCCATTCTGCCAAGGAGTATTTTTTGTGCTTCGATTTATTATAATGTGTTGACAACTGTTAACATTTTAATAGTATATTACACTACAAGGGCAGAAAGTGTGAGATTCCTGGGCTCTCACACTTTCTGCCCGTGTAGTGTAGACTATTTTTCTTGCTACCCGGCCGAAAATACGGGAAAAAATTAAATGTGTATATCGAAACATATTGATGCCTGCCCCGACATTTGCGGCACGAGCGATATTATAGAGGGCGCGCGTATAGCTTGACCATATATCGATATATTTGTATATTTTTTATTTTGTAGAAGGATAAAAAATTACATTTTCTTACTACCTCGGCCGAAAATACGTATAGCTTGACCAATGCATCAAACGTAAACTTTCTGCAATGGAATCGGGGACGAAACAACGTATTTTCGGTCGAGGTAGTAAGAAAAAATATTTAATATGCATATTATGTAAATTAGTTACCTAACCTCAATTCTACACCTTTATACCTTCAAAAATTAATTTATAATTAAAATTATAGATGGCAGCACTTACGTAATACTTAGTAATAGGACGTAATACAGGGTGTCCGGGAAAAGGAGGTCAATCCGTTAACCATATATTCCTTGAGTTAAAACAATAAGACTTTCATAATACAATTTTTCAATTTAGAGCTTCATGTTCGATATACAGGGCGAAAAAGTTTGAAATTTAAAACTGATTTTTTTTAATAATTCGAGTAATTGATAAGATATTAAGTTTAAATTTGGTACACTACTTTAACATAAATAGTTACATTTTTTGAGACCAACAAAACAAAAAACAATTGTCAAATAATCAAAATAGGGGGGTCCAGTACTCACTGACTTCCCCTATTTTTTAGTACGTACGCCAATGACTTTCAAACGGTATTTTTTCAGGTAATCATTTATTGTTGAAAATTTTTTGTCTCTTATAAAATTTTGATAAAATGATTTGTTTTAGAGATAATTTGTAAAGTATGGGTCAGTCCATATCATATTTTCGAAATTTAATTTTTTTTTTGAAAAAATTTAGGTCATGTGATATATCAAAAAAAAGGTCTCTAATAGGCCTTTAAAATAAGCCATCACTCACCTTTCTACTTTTAATAGTTTACGAGATATCGCTATTTTTGTAAATACTTGCAAGACCCAAATTTATCGGATCAATAAAACAAAAACCACCTATCGAAAAAAATTCATATTTGGGTTTTTTGAGTTTTTTAGTGAGGTAAACAAATTTACCAAAAATTATTAAAATCGCAGATGGTGGGGGAAGAACCTTTGGTTGATTTGATATGGACTGACCCATACTTTACTAATTATCTCTAAAACAAATCATTTTATCAAAATTTTATAAGAGACAACATTTTTTTTTAAATAAATTATTACCTGAAAAAAATACCATTTGGAAGTCATTGGCGCACGTACTAAAAAAGAGGGGGAGTCAATGAGTACTGGACCCCCCCAATTTTGATTATTTGACAATTGTTTTTCGTTTTGTTGGTCTCAAAAAATGTAACTATTTATGTTGAAGTAGTGTACCGAATTTAAACTTAATATCTTATCAATTACTCGAATTATTAAAAAAAATCAGTTTTAAATTTCAAACTTTGTCGCCCTGTATATCGAACATGAAGCTCTAAATTGAAAAATGGTATTATGAAAGTCTTATTGTTTTAACTCAAGGAATATATGGTTAACGGATTGACCTCCTTTTCCAGGACACCCTGTATAACGTAATACCAAGTAATACAACGTAATATTATGTAATAAAACGTAATATTAAGTAATACCAAATGTTATTACGTAATACGAGGTAATATATGGTAATTTTACGTAATACTTGGTAAGTATTACGCGTTTTGCGTAATAGGCGTACAAATTTGGCCCGGTTGTTTACCCCTCGATTTTTTTATAAATAGTTTACAAGAAATTAAATTTTAAATCAAATAATACAGATTTTTTAATCATACATTTTAAATACCTATAAGAATGAAGTTTAAAAAAAATTGTGGTATCTTGCTACTACTTAGTAGATTATTAATTAATATTTATTTTTAATTTTTATGACAACGTCAAAAATCATGGGGTAACTTGGCAAATTTTTACTTACTAGTTACATTTCACATAAATGATTTTATCATCTAATATATCTTTACTGTATGGTTATAGTAAATTTTTGAACGTATAATTTAACAGTCTTGGGAGGTTAAATTTTGTGATAAATCTAAAAGCACGTAACCCGTTAAAACTTGCAGCGGAAATGCTGAGCTCGGACGAGGACGAGATCGACGACCAGGGCCAGGACTACCTCGAAAACCTGTCGCGCGCCGTTCAAAGCCAAAACGCGGCCGTGGCCGGGGGCCAGCCGGGCATGCAGGTCCAAGCGACCATCAACGACATCGACGACAACGAGGAGGAAGAAGACTCGGACTACGAGCCCAGCGAAGAAACCGTCCTCGAAGCTTACACAACGCCTTTGGACGGCGAAGATTGCGAAGTCGACGAGTATTTGGCCTTCAAGCAAGTTATGAGCGGTGAGTTTGGCGATTTTTTTTTCAGAAATAAGTTGATTTAACGCAGGAGCGCAGCATAACAACTTTAAAGCCCTCTAGCGACTAAAAGAGGCAACTTTGCATAGAACTGTCTAAAAAAATGTTGTAAAATGTCCTCACTGCCTTATAACTGTCTTAACATGGTCCTTAAGCTCTCTAAAACTTACTAAAACCTTCTATCACACAGTGGAGCCAGAAATAAGTGTCCAAAATTAACCAAGTCAACTTTTTTATTTGTTATTAGTACTAATATACACTCACAGGCAAAATAATCGATCCACACAAATTTTCGATGAATTTCAATCGCAAATAACTTTTTTATTTGATGTCGGATTTAAACGAATATTAAAGAATATTGTAGATAAATTAATGGACAATCGCTCACAATTTAAAAAATTACTAAAAAACACACGTACGTTCATAATATACAGGTTTAAACAAAAATATGTTTTTTACCATAAGTTTAAGACACTCTGTAGAGTGGCAAAACCGTATATTGTTCTAAATTAAGTTTTATTTATCAAGTCACATCTATTGTTAACAGTTTTGTTTTTGGTTCACCTCGATTTATTTATTTTTGTGGAAATTTCGATTTATTTATTTTTGTTGCAATTTCCAATATACTTCTGTATGAAGAACTAAGGTTGCTATGGTCCATCCATAGGCTATGGAGAATGACAGTGACAGTTTTGTTGAATCATCCCATACTTTGACATGTCATACACGGCTTTCAAAAGCTATCAAATTGTTTTTTGCAAATTAATGTTTAAATTTTGAGGTGTCTTCTTACTTTAAAAAATGGATATGTCTCCGACTGATGTTGCCAGAGCCATTAATTTAATCCAGGATGGACAGTCACAGTATTACGTGGCAACTGTTTTAAACGTCACAAGAAGTAAAGTACAAAGGGCAACATCAGTCGGAGACATTTTTAAAAGTATGAAGACACCTCAAAATTAACACATTAATTTACAAAAAACAATTTGATAGCTTTTGAAAGCTGTATATGACATGTCCAAGTATGGGATGATTCAACAAAACTGTCACTGTCATTCTCCATAGGCTATGGATGGACCATAGCAACCTTAGTTCTTCATACAGGAAAAATATTGGAAATTGCAATGTTTTTTAAAGATATCCATATTTTCCACAAAAATAAATATATCGAGGTGAACCAAAAACAAAACTGTTAAGAATAGATGTGACTTGATAAATAAAACTTAATTTAGAACAATATACGGTTTTGCCACTTTACAGAGTGTCTTAAACTTATGGTAAAAAACATCTTTTTGTTTAAACCTGTATATTATAAACGTATGTCTATTTTTTAGTATTTTTTTAAAATGTGAGCGGTTGTCCATTATTAATTTATCTACAATATTCTTTAATATTCCTTTAAATCCGACATCAAATAAAAAAGTTATTTGCGATTGAAATTCATCGAAAATTTGTGTGGATCGATTATTTTGCACGTGAGTGTAGTTCATTTTTTAATTATAATTATTATACAGGGTGTTATGTAATTAATGTTATATATTAAAATGGGTAGTTCCTTAGGGTCCATAAAGAAGCACCTGAAACTTTTTTTTTCTAAATTCCAAAGACTAAAAATAATTTATAATAACCTTTATCCTACCAAAAAGTACGCCACTGATCGACTAGGAACCGCAGATTAACCTAACCTATTACTTTTTAATGCAGTGTTGCCAAATGTAAAATTAAAAATGTATTACCTTATATGAGATGCTCAAAATGATTTCATTATTTAGAATGCAAGCTTAAACTCTGCGAAGCATGCTTTCGCGCACCCGCGTAAAAATGTCTGGACTATTTACAATTAAGTTCCTGAGTTGCTGCCCACATCCCGTCTCTCGTAAATGTGGCCTTATCGGTATACAAAACACTACGAGTCCAATTAGCATCTTCTTGATTTTTCTGTATATACCAATGGCAAAATTCCAACCGCAGTTCATAATCTCCATCCTGAAGAGCTTGAACTTTTTGTAGGTGATATGGGTACAAACTATTTTCGTGAATCGTGCGCCACGTAACAAAGTTGGACATTTGTCCAAGTTGCAACTGCCCATGGGCAGTTAATCGTCTTGTACTAATTCTCGGATTTGCTTCCACTTCGTCCAAAATTTATTCTTCAAGGGCCACAAATTCACGTCCCTGAGCCCGACCCCTATCACCAACAAATGCGCTAAATCTTCCGCGGTCCCTTAAACTTTGCACAGCACGTACAAAAACGCCATAGCATAAAATCTTTCGCACAAATTACTAATTATTATTACTAATAAAATACAACACAGATTATACAACTGAAATACAAATTTTCAAACTTTCAAATATTTATAAAAGAATAAAAACCTGCAAGAACTTGAAAAAAAATAAAAACCTGAAACCGCTAGATTTTAGAATTAGACCTTGTGTAAACTAATGATTTTTTAAAAATCGTTTTAACATTGTGATTTAAAAACATACTTATAAAATATATTTTAATTTAGACACACCAGATTTAAACTTTAATCATAATTCGTAATGATTTACTTTGTCCAATTTATGTTGTTATGGTTGGTTACCAACCGTTGGTAACACTGTCAAATTGTAGGTTATGCATTCTCTTGTCTCTGAGGTTATGTGCGCAAATTGTAATATCTTAACTAAGGGAAGTGATTTTGGGAGTTTGGATTTATTTACACAAATTGAATGTTTAACGATTAGCCGGCCATACACAGACGTTATTGCGCGCGGTTTATCGTGTTATCTGCAAAAACATATGGAAAATCATGTACGTGAGTGAGTATCGCCGCGCGCAATGATAGAACGGGAAGGGATTTCAGACGTGCTTTTCTCTGGAGTGTGGCGTGTCCACACGCCACATTCCGCGTCACGGTTTACCTTTGCTTGGCAAAATTTCACGTTGAAAATTTGTACATGAGCACATGTAGTTTCAAACAACTCGATAAATGACACTTTTTGCCCACTCACATACGATTTTTCCTTTGAAACTGATATACCACGGGCAATCACTTGCTAAATCATTTGAATACTTTATCAAGTGTATGGAACATGACGCTTTTTTTGCCACGCCGTTCTTTCGTGCATGCAAACCGCTACATGCCAACACGCCACGATAAACCGCGCGAAATAACGTCTGTGTATGGCCAGCTATTAACCTGTGAACTTGTCCTAATTTCATCTGAGTAAACAGAAAGAAAAAAACCGATGAAAAAATTAATTTTATGGAGTTTTTAAATAGGTAGGTACTAATTTTTCTTATCATTGCTTAAGTTAATAGCTGGATGAGTAAATAAATACAGAATGGTATTAGAGCTTTAAGGGCATAAAACTTTTGTATTTATTGAGTTTTTATTTATTTTATGCAAGAAAATTTTTTAGTAACAATTTTTGTACAACTGGCAACGCGCAGCTACTTTGTTGGTTTGTATCTATGTACTGAGAGAACACAAGTGTGTAACCAGTGGCGTATCACAAAAAATATAAAAAACTTCTAATGCATATATTTTCTTTATCTTTGGGAAAATATCTTTTAAAATATTTTTCCATTACACCTTATGTCAAAAGGTATTCAGTATTTTAATATATAACATTAATTACATAACACCCTGTATTATTATTATTTTTTTTTTCAAATTCTTTATTTACATCCCCAGAAACCACAATCCCCTTAGAGTTATACAAGTATATAAAAATAAAAATATTCAGGTACATGAGTTTTACAAGTGTATATATATATATATAGAACAATACAGATCACAAATAATTAAAATTATAATATTCAGGTACATCAATTCAGTTGAAACACAAAAAAAAACAGAAAATAGACTGGAAAAAAATAATATATCACAAAAACCCCAAAAAATTTCTTAACTCTCGTTTAAAAGCCAGTCCTTGTTGGTTTACCAGCTCAGTTGGTAAACAGTTGTAATAGATTGAGCTGAGACCGTAGCGAGATTTGCAAAGAGGTATGTCTATTTTTCCCCCATTTCTAGCGTTGTAGTTGTGAATTGAATTTCTAAAATTAAAGTTTAGGTTTGAAAGTCTGGTTTTATTTTTTACTTGGTGTATAAATAGGTTAACTTGATACATATAAATATTTAAAGAGTAGAGGTTTTTAATAGCTTTATTTTGTAAAGTTTGTATTGATTTTATATTTTTTTTGATGTTGACATCCATATTAAGTTTAAGTATTTATTTAATACATTTATATTTTATATAAGTTCAGCTAATAATTGCTACTTTTTAACTTAACACTTCTTATCATATTAAAACTTTCCATTCATTTCCAATATTTTTTGTATTTATTATGGTATTATAATAACATATTTATTATAAAAATGTTGTAAATGTTAATAAAATGTTGCGTTTATATTTATAAAAGCCTTGTGATACTTTTTGTGTGCTAAATTTTCTTGTTTTAAATTGCAAAAAGTAGATGTGGTGTGTATGGTATTCTCATATTAGATATAACAGTCTAAAAATTAAAAAAAAATAGTACACTTTTAAATAAAAAATAGTTTATTTTAAAAATAATTGATATAAATAAAAGTTAAATAAGCAAATATTTTTTAAAAAAGTTACAGATATAAAAGAATATTTTTCTTTTTACAGCCTTGGTCTTTTTTTTAACTTTCTTTTTTACTTCTTTTTTCTAAATTTAGCTTGAGCCAGCCATTTTTGTAATGTAATGTCATTTTCCGTCGCAGTTACGGTTTTTGGATTTTTCCGTATGGAGGCTAAAAATAATTTAATTTAAATTAAAGTCTTCGTTTTAATCCCGCTCAGAGAAATTACTTTTTTTGTTTTTAAAAATAAAAAACAATAATATTTTTTTTCTAAGCGATTTTATTAGGTTTTTGATTGTTATTTGTTAATAATAAATTTACCGATGGAATAATTGTCTTCAATAGGGTGGCAATAATAATTTAAACAATAAAAATAAATATAATACATACCTCTAGCACGAAGGATTATCTGGATAATTTAATATTTTAACTTAAAATCGCACATTACACTCAACAAAAAAAAATGGCCGAACTGACTCTCATTTGTTTTGACTTTAGCGGCCGAGACTCAGATAACAGATACCTTTTTATCAAGAGGGCGCTTACATCAGAAAACTTTTAATGAACTTTTCAAAATGTTTATAAATATTGTTAAATAACAATATTTAGGAAATAATAGTAGTAAATATATTTATTGGAAAAAAACCAAAAGGCTATCGACCGAGGTCTTTCTGCCTTGGGAAATAATATTTACATAAAATCGCGAAATAAATGTTGAAAAATATTTACGTGATATTTATGAATGTTTCACGAAATATTTACGCAGTTATAGAAATATTTTTCCCTGAATGTTTGTACAAAATTTCATCAACATTTTTTAAAACATATTGTGTTACAGTGAAGGCAGAAAATAAGTGTCCAAAATTAACCAAGTTAACTTTATTATTTGATATTAGTACTAATATATTTTATTGTCTTTCCTATTTAAATTGCTTTAAAGTTTCAAAATGTTGTTAAATTACATAAATTATACAAAATGAAACCACATATGCAATATAACTAAATTTACTTCTATACAAAAGTTGTTAACCAAGATGCAGGGTGTCAAAGTAGAAAGTTTTTTTTTATTTATTAAATAACAGAAAAAAACGAACGTTTTTCCACAAAATTTGATTTTTGGGGATTTTCAGGCCGGGAAAATTAAATTTCTTGAAAAAATTATGTGATACTTTGCATACGTTTAAATGTTCACACCTTTTTTGCGCCTTAGTATATTCACGTTTTTAATAAAAATATTACGTTTTTATCTTTATTGCGTAAAAAGGGTATGCTTTCTAAATTTCGCTGGTTAGCATTTTTTTAGAGATACTATCCGTACACTGATATCGAGAAAAAAATTAATTCCCGACGTTGAATACAGGGTGTTATGTATTTAATGTAAAATATTAAAATACTGAATACCTTTTGACGATTTTAATTTTAATTTGAAAATGTAATTTTTGTTTGACCTGCACCATACTGTGGATAATACAAGAATAAAATCAAAAGTAAATTTTTCTAAAAATTCGGATAATTGGAAAAATTTTTCAATTCGTACCACAGATAATACGGATAAACTTTTTTTTTCGGAAATTTTAAAACACTAAGTAAAACTGACTAATAATGTTATGTTGTGTGTTTTTTTAAACAAAGTTTTTTTTAATTAAAGGCATTCAAACTGCTGAACCTGAGTGGTACAATGCTTTAACTTCAAGATTAACAGAAGAACAAGTGAAAAGTCTAGGTGAAATTGTGGTTTTGGCCGATCAAAGGGCAGCTGCCAAAGAGAGTAAAAGAATTCAGCAACAAGGTGGTGAGTAAAAATTTTGATTTTTTTTCGTGAGATTTTATAATTTTACTTTTTTTCTGGTGAAAACACATTTTTGTTTTATTTTAGAATATGGATTACAAATGATTGTTGCCAGAGAAAGTTGTAAGATTTATAAATGCTCTATTAAATGTTTTTTATTTTATTAAAAACTTTTTTAACAAAGTTTTATTTATATTTTACATATTTATTAATTCCTTATTTCAATTACAATTTTGTCCCAGTAAATTTTTTTTTTAAAGCAACAAAAACAAACTGAAAACTAATTTTTGTTTTTTGTTGTTTTCAGGATATATGTTTACAGTTCAGCCAGTCCCATCAAGTTTCAGATTTGGCGAGGGTGGAAATTCATGAATAATAAAAAATGTTTTGTAAACGTGTGTGTATTTATTTGTGACTATATACTTATTATGGATTGACTCATTGTATAAAATTTAATTAATAATAATGATAACAATGCGGCGTCGCAACTGACCAGTGCAAAGTGATTTGTTTGTACAGTTTTTTTTATTGCGGATGTCATCATTTTATTTTTGATTAAGTGCCTTTTAATTAAATTGAGAAATAATTGTACGTAATATATACTTTAACTTATTATACATACATTTTACACAACATAACTGTGTATGCTTTAGTTAGGTATTTTATTATTGTTATTATTATTATTGGCATGTTTGTTTTTAGTCTCTTTGTTTTTCTTTATTATATTTCAGCTTTTTTATTATTTCAATGAAATAATGTTATATCTATAAAATACTTTTTTGTTGTAAATATAGACCAAACATTCAAACTAAATGCCTAGGTATTATTATTTTTACAGGCATTTCACCAAACTTTTACACCAAATTATCTTTTTTTGTTTTATTTTACACTCAAAGTGTAACTTGACCTGTTGATTTCTTAAATTTATGTAAATATGCATGTTTATCTTCATTGAAGGAAATGGCTGTTTTTTGTTACTCTCTATATCTATTTAAGACTTCAAAAGTAATTAATTAGCATTTTAATAAATATTTTGCTTTCAATCCGTTTTTTATTCATTTTTGTCTAGCTACTATATTTTAGAATTTAACGCCATACCAAGTGATACAAGGTAGTTATTTTATTTATAAAATTTATGTTTCTTATCTATGGTTTATTTTTCTTTTTATAGGTGTGGTTAATTTAGTATGTATTATTTTGTGGTTATTTTTTTTGTTTTCTACATCTGATTAATTTTCTATAGATAATCTACATATACAGGGTGTTAAAAAACAGGTCCGGAAGATAAACATTTAAAACAAAAACGGTTTTTTAATAGTATATTATGTATCAAGTTTGATAAACGCCATTTTAGACGCGAATTTAATTTGTCAAATTGTTATGTGTTATAAACACAGATTATAAAGGTTATGAATCGAAATGTATTCCTTGAAAATGGATTAACAACATTTTTTTACAGTGTAAAATGTTTTATGAGCACTTCACAGTGGAGTTTGAGCCCTAATTTAAGTTATAGTTTACTGCCGGCAAAATTAAAAGGTCAGTACAATGTTCTTATAAACTTTTCAAATATTGGTGTTGGGAAACTCTTTATTTAATACTTTTGTATTTTTGTATTGAGATAATAAAATAATTTTCACATTTTACTAAATAAAAGTAATACTTTACTTTACAAAGAAGCCACTTTATTTTAACGATTGTATGACATTTGACAACTAAATTAATACTATCTTCAGCCTGTGACTAAAAACTTGTTGCCAACTTCAGCCCGTGACTAAAACGCCATAAAGCCTCAACTTGTCAATGTGTATTTAAAAGGTCACTTAGTGTCATGGAAACGTACGATAACGGGCGTTTTAAAAGTGGAAATAGAAAAAATATCTTAAATACCAATAGGGAACTAATTTTGCTTTAACTATAACAGTTACTAAAGAATAAAATTGTCCATTGGCGTCCCAGGAGGCACCTTAACGAATATTAATGACAAAAAAAGACGTCACTGCCTTTTTTACAATTTCTTTATTTTTTTCACAATCCACAAAAGGTTCTCGTTTCGCGCATACCAAAAATCATGCAGTTAGGCAACCCACTGCACAGACTCTAACTTCGATCATTTTTATGTTGTTTACAATTCCTGTGTTTCAGGCGTGGTGCCTATGGCTTCAGGCACAGAACATGCTTCAGGTTTGTGCTGTTTATACAGATGAATAATAGTTCTAAACGTTGTGTTTGTAAGCCTTAAAAGAGGCCTTAAAGTGCCAAGGCAACCATTTTACTCTTGATTTAACTCCTCTTGTAAGAAATAAACCTTATTAATAGAATTCTATCAGGGCTGTCATTAAATGCCAATTTTGTTGTGTAGATTGTGATTTTATTATTATTTATCCACTAAAAATACAACTTTTTTCTCTTGAGTTATCGTATCTTACGATCGACAGAAAAAATAAAAACCACCCAGCAAACCAGGCTGTTCCATTTACATAACCATGATATAACTAACAAAGAACATTGCCATATAAAATTGTTTACATAACATTTACATATTATATTATTATGATAAAACATAGTAATATAACATTTATATAAATATGTTCCCCTCTTGTTATATTTACATCCCCCTTATGTATCAGCCATATAACAATGTTATATATCTACAATGGAACAATGATACATCATTGATATATGGCAATGTTTTATAGTATCCATATAACCTTATTATATGGTATTTACATAGTTTTTCTTTATTTTGTTACATAATTATAATAAAAAATTTTAATATAATAGTTATATCAAAATGATCCCTTCTTATTATATTTACATCCCTATTATGTCATGGCTATATAACAATGTTTTATACCTACATTGTAACAATGATATATAAATGTTATATATTAATGTTTTATAGTATTTATATAGCCTTTTTATCTTACTAACGAACTCGTTTAAACGGTTGTGTCGAGTGCTCTCTATTGTGTTTTAAGTTAAGTTAAGTTTGATTCCATTTTTTTATAATAAAATGGAAGACAAAAATAGAAAAAAATATATTTCCCTATCCCGGAGGCAAAAGCGGAGGAGAATTAATGCAGATCTCAAAATAATGGGCGTAGAGGTAAGAAATTGTATAGAAAATACCCAAGACAATGTGGAATATACTGAGGCTAAAACCGAAGTATTATCTTTCCCCAACCAGCCAATAAATAAACATATAATAAAAATATTTTTATAGAAAATTTGGGAGAATATTCAGGAGGTCATAGGAAAAATTCCCATACTTTTGTGGAAGATTTGCAAGATTTGTGTAATAGATACTTACCTAGTCAACTTTTTATTAATGATCTGTTAAAAGTTTTGAGAAAACATTATTGCAAAAAGAAGTAGAGGCTGAATTTGTAAGTATATAAAGGGCGATTTTAAACCTGTTTAATAATGTTAATTTGTTTTTAAAACAGGGTGCTAAAAAACAAGCGACAAATTATAATTTAATGATATTTGGTAGCCAAAATAAGAGTTTAATTTCTATATTTTTTTTTAACTTTATACTGTTTTTTTAACTGGTACTTAAAAAGATACAATAATTTTGCTAAATAACCAAGAGGGATACACTTTTTTTATTATAATTGTTGTGACAATTAATTTTATGCAAATTCCATATTTTTCATTATTTTTATATCTCTTAAGGTTGCAGGGTGCATTTGACTTGAATAAATAAAATCAAACAAATTATTATTTGTACCAAATATCATTTACATAACTAAACATAAAGAATAGTTGTTCTTTGTTTTGAAAACAAATAATGAACAAAAATAATATTAAATTGTATTTTTTTCAGTTTCAGTATATAACAAAAATTGGAGGCGTCTCAGAGAAAGATGCCACAGTAAGAGTTTTAAAGAAAATCTTCTCAAATAATTTGGCAAAATATTGCTCTTGGCTGGGGCTAAGAAACAACAATAAAATTCAAAATTTAAAATCTGTTGAAATATTGAAGGGTAAAAATGTAAATTTTATGGGATTTTTTATTAAATAAATTTTTTTAAGCTGCTGTGTGCAGTTCGACAGACAAAAATTTTGAAGGCATAGTTTCCGACAGGCCAAACAAAGATTTGGTATACCCTATAGGGAAGCAAAAAACCCATGAAAAGAAGGTATATTAATATTAAATTCATGGGATTGCTTTATCTTTTTTACCATATATTTTTTAGCTTTGAAGTATTAATGTATTTGGGATTTTTTTTTGTTTGGAAAAACTTTTCATTTGTTTTAAGAAGTTAGAAAGAAGAAATGATTTGTTTTTTTTTAATTAAAATAATTTTTAATAAACATTTAAACCAATTTGGTTTTTTTTAATCTCTTTCAGAATCATTTATTTTTGTAATGTTTACTTATTATTTATGTAATATTTATTTATAATTTATTTAATATATTATCTAACTGGCATTAACAATTTCTTAGTTCTAATTTGGTATTATGGCAATTTTAAAATTTTGTTGATTTTTTTTCAAAAAATTTGCCATACCTAATACCAAGTTAGGGCTAAGCAATTTTTAATACCAGTGAGATAATATATTACATGAAATTATATTTATAAATATTTCATAAATAATGGTTTTATCACGTTTACATAACTATGATATGGCGCTGTAACATTACAGTTACATATCTATGATAAAACACTGTTACATCACAGATACATACCCAGGAAGGGGTCTTGAGGCGGACATAGGAGCATCGCCATTACATATAGGTGACATAGCTGTTGCATAGTAAGGAACAATTTTTATGTAAATGTTATATCACTGTTACATAACTGATATGGCGCTGTAACATTACAGTTACATAACTATGATAAAACACTGTTACATCACAGTTACATACCCAGGAAGGCGTCTTGAGGCGGACATAGGAGCATTGCCATTACATATAGGTGACATATCTGTTGCATAGTAAGGAACAATTTTTATGTAAATGTTATATCACTGTGACATGATTTGGTTTGCACCTTTTTCCGGTTAACTACCTACTTCTTATTGTTTTTTAATAAATCAAGCAGTTTTGGAGAAAATTGACAAAACGTATAAATAACGTTGCCAAATTTCAAAACGATATTGAATATATTTTAAAAAGCCGTTTTTTATAATGTTTCTTGAAAACGAAGCATTTCCGGACCTCGTTTATATGAATTGTTTTCTTTTTTTGGACGACGAATCCCAAGCTGTGCATTGGCTAATGTTTTTTTTAACACCCTGTATGTAGAGAAATAAACCATAGACATAAAAAATCAACCATGCACTCAGTAGCGTGCAAAGGTGATCGGGGGCCGCCCGCAAATTTTGAGCTGGGGCCCCTTTGTCACTTATACCACCCAATGTGGTTCTCTACGGGGCCCCCCTAAGGTCTGGGGGGCCCTGCGGGGCCCGTTCTGCACGCCACTGCATGGCATGCAGTGGAAATATTTATTTCAGGATTTTTGACAAATTATGTCATTTTGTGATAAATGGCTTAAAAATTGAAATATTACAAAAATAAACTGTTTTATAAAAATTTTATTAATCTTTTTTTCAGGTGGACAATAATTCAACAATCCACTAAAATTATAATAAATTACCAATAAAAGTGAATGGCAAATAGTCTTTAAGGCATCTAAAAATTCTTTAAAATTAAGCCCTGATTTAAAATTTTTTTATATTTATAGTCCTATTTACAGTTTAGCATTAATTAAGGGTTTGAGTGAAATTTAATAATAAAAACTTATGAGAGGTAGTCTTTTTAAAATTGCTTATTATTTAACCTGCATTTTAGAAAAAACATTTAATTAATTTTCAAAATAAAGTAACAACCATTTTAAATAGGAATTATTATATACAGCTCTATTCCAAACTAAGAGAATCAATTTTTAACAAATTAATAAAAAATAAAACAATAAAAAAAACTTTTCTGGATTTTTATGGGTGTACTTTGGCATAAATATGAAAAAGAACAAATCACCTTAAAAATCTTAAATTTAATAAATCCACAAATGAAATATTTCTTGATACTGGACAGGAGTTTGTTTGATAAAAAGTCCTGCAAGAATAAATAAAAAAATAAAGGCCTGTTTACTTACATAATAGAAAACTTTTTTAACATTATCTTTATGGTTTAGCAATTTAAAACATTTGTTTTGAAATGTTGAAAGTTTTAACATTGCCAGATCTCCCAGATGTGTAGTGGATTTTTCTGTCACTTGAGTGCACCTTTCAGCCAATAGAAAGCTTGTATTTGCGTCACTATTAAATATCTTGAAAACGGAAAAAGATATTAAAATTCTGATTTCATAGAAATGTTTTAAATAAAAAACACAAAAAGAACATGTTTAAGTTAAAGTAACCCATTGATTATTAATTAATTCCTAATTGTATATGATAAATAAACTTAAACTGATTATCTCAGCTTGGAATATCATTTAAAGATCTATAAGAGCCACTTTAAAACTGAAGTCCTTAAAATCGAGAGGCATTATCCTTACATTATTTATTTATATATTAAGTCCTCACACAGTGCATCACTTTAAACAACGTTCAAAATAAATTCCTCCCACATAACCTCCCCTAATTGCTTTCTGGACGTTTTGTTCAAACACTCTTCTGTTGTTTGTTAGCACTTCAGCTGCCTCTTTGTTTAAAGGATCTTCAGGGTTTGGTTCTAAGAACAAGTATTGAAGCCCATACACAATGCTGTTTATTGTCAAAACAGGCTTCCAGTCTTCTCTAAGAATGTTCAGACATACGTTTCCCTGCTGGTCTATGTTTGGATGGTACACCTGGGTTTCACACTTCACCTTTGGAGGTTCATGTGGGTAATTTGGTCCCACTTTAAAACTAAATATAAACCGACCTGTTCTGTAAAAACCCTACAAAGAAAATTTTTTTAAAAACTCAGGTTACAATGCTTGTGGGTTCTGCATAAATACCTCATCAGGGCAGATTATTAGTTTAAAAGTTAACAGGTCATCTGGATCGGGAAATTCTGTTGTACATGTCTTCGGTAAGTTCAACTCATTTATATCTGAAAACCAATAATAACAACATTATTTGGATATTGAATTATTGAAACTTAACCTTTCGTTATTCTAAGTTGTGCTGCCGAGGCTTTTTTCGGGTTTCCGCTTCTTGGTGAGGCTTCTCCATCTTTTTTCTGTTGTTTCAGAGAAAATAATTTTATCATATTTTTAAGTTAAAACTAAAGTTACTTATGGTTATAGCAATTTTTACAGGTTTACAACTAAAACATAAAAAGGCGTAGTGAATTATTTGATGTTGATTTCGTTTTTTTGTGATTTTTTCGAGCTGTCAATTTTTATGACCAGCTGTCAAGATCACTATCCATAACCAAAAATTAAATCCAATCAGACTTTTCCGTAAAATAAATTATTTTAACATTATAAGACGATTAACCACAAATTAAAAAAACTGTTGAATTTTCCGAAATAACAGCTATTTTAACATAGCTATTTTAATGGAACGGAAACATAAAACGATTATTATCCATACTTTTTGTTGAAATTGTTGTTGGCAGCCCTGTTCGCCGAACGATGTTCGGCTATCTTCGTGTGATGACCTTTCAGTGTTGCCAGGTCTGGTGAAATTTCTCCAGATGGTGATTTAATTTCATTCTGGAGATTTGGTGAAAACTTTTATCAAATTCCCTATTTCTGGTGAATTTCAAAGATCCGGGTAAATTGTATTGGGGTATTTGTGGGTTATGGTAAAATACCTTTAAATTGAAATTTGACAGTATGATGACAGGCCTGAATCAGGGCCCCTGATAGAATAAGGTTTATTTTTTACAAAAGAGGAGTAAAATGGTTGTTCTTAGCACTTTAAGCCTTTGACAGATACTTAACCTCAATAATTGACTGCATTTCTTATTGAAATGACTTTCATGCATAGTATATATTAAGAACTACGGTATCTAGCCACAGAGTAGACTATCTAATCTATGAGACTATCCAGCATTGTTGACAAAACTAACACGTGCACGTGTTTATTTCTAAATAAAAGGAACAAAAAATTCGTTAAAAAATCGCTGTCTTTTATAAGACCATGTTTTAAAATATGTCCTGAATTGTCAATATTGCATTGATTTTGAAGTAAAAATATTACATAAAAAAAATTTAGTAGGTTAAATTAATTGCATTCTCTGTTAGAGTAGTTGCCTTAAACATAACCCATAACACAAAAAGGGCAAAACCTTTAAGGGAAAACTTCATAACACATAGTAACACACATTGAAAGTTTTTATTTACACAAAAATAATCAGACTTAAATAAAAACGTACAAAACATAGATATCCAGAGGTATTGCTTGATGCAACAAACTTTATTACTCTCATAATAACAAGTGAAAAGTAAAATATGTATACCATGAACGATCTAATAATGACGACTAGCTAAACAAAGGCAATGTCTTCTGCCCACTCATTCTCTCACTCCACATCTTCTTCCTGCAATGAGGAAGAATTTGGAGCAGGTTGCGCCTTCATCAATCGTGGCGCAACCGAGGGCAGCCGTTGGATGAGCAAGTGGAACACCTGGGGCTGCAAGGTTTGTTGAAGGACCTGCAAAAGGTCGTTTGGTTGCCCGCAGACCGCCACAGCGTTACCCAAATGGTCCACCCCGCTTTCAAGGTCACCAGCAGCAAGCAATTCCTCCCCCAATTGGATTTCCTGCAGGAAAAACTGCTGCACCGCCTCGTGATCTTTCATGTCCGGGAATACGGTGTGCGGACGCTTGTGGCATGTCTGTTTCTTGGCCCTGCGTCCTAAAATACACGCGTTAATACCGATACATTTAGGTTATATTGCACTCAGCTTACTTTGTCTTAGTTTCTTCTTAAAGTCCGGGTCTTTATGCCTTTGTACATCGAAGTATATGCAGTAGCCCAGAAATAAGGTAGCTGAAACGCCTGCACATATACCGATAACCGCTTTTGGTGATACCATCATATAATTTAACACGATTTTTTGCCCGAAACGACTTCGTCCATCACGCACGACGCCGGAAGAAAGTTTTGATTTTGACAGTTGCTCTCGATCCCGAATTTTTCGTTTAACACCAAGAAAATGTCAAGGTAATCGTTTGCAAAGATGCTCTAATTACCGACTAATCGTTTATGTAACTGTCTATTTATGTCTTCAACATTTTTAACACTTTCAACGGGAATTCCATTTTGACACACCTGTCTAAATTAATAACATACCTACTTGATTATGTTCAATAATTGATGTACAGGGAGGCAGAAATTAAGCGATAGCAAAAAACAAAACTAAACAGGAAAATAAGAAAAAAGAAAAATGAACAACAGTATTCAAAACTGAACTGTTCTTGTGGATAGAAATCTCGTAAGTTTTCTTCACACTTTAAACGCAGTTGCTGAATGAAAAAAATTGTTTTTGTATGTAAATGTTTAAAATTTTACAAAAAATATTTACCAGAATGCTTTTAAAATTTTTATACCAAATTTAATTACTTAGGTGAATTATTTTTTAGTAAAATTTATTGTAAATGATAACTTATTACGCTGCGTTGCCGCACTGAAATTATCAATTACCCACGCCACTATGACAGAATACCCGGTTTTTATACCAAATTTAATTACTTAGGTGAATTATTTTTTAGTAAAATTTATTGTAAATGATAACTTATTACGCTGCGTTGCCGCACTGAAATTATCAATTACCCACGCCACTATGACAGAATACCCGGTTTTACCCCCACTTTAACATGAAAATCCCCATAAAATTACCCGTCCGAATACGTGGCTTGTTTTAAAAAAAAGAGGTCAAATTTTTATTAATATTAAATGGGTAGGTACCTATTAGCCTAATACTATTAGGTAGGAACTTTATTAATACATAGATATGCTTACTTTATTAATAAATAGTAGATGAACCTCCTCTCAGGGTACTTTATTTTTTCCGTAAATTAGAATTTAACATTTTGTTTGATGGTTCAAATCTGACAGGACCTCCTGCCTCTTGGACCCCCTCTTTTGTGTGTAATAATGCGGCGATTGTGTAGGTGTTCAATCTGTTTCTGTTATAAATAAAATACCCGTTGACTGTCAAATTAACGTCAAGGACATGCGCAATATAAAATAAAGACGTATAGCGCCATCTATTAGGTAACTGTATAAACCCAGTCAACAAAATGGTCAAAATGAACTTTCGTTTTCATTTTCATTTTCGCAGAAATAGCGTAGGTCGAATGGTTGAATTTTAATTTTAAAGTTTTATTTTTTGCTGTTGGTTCTACAATTTTTATTTTTGCAAATTTGGGTCAAAGGGTTAAAATCCCCGGTTTTACCCGTTTAATTATTTTACCCGGCACATACTCCAAAATACCCGAATTTTGGGTAAAATACCTGGCAACGGCAACGCATGCAACGCATGCCAACAATCAAACCTACTTTCCTTTATGGATTTTGATCAAGGGACGCAGACGAGTGCATAAAATGGCTGCCGCGGTCGTTCCACCCGCCTCTACATCAAATCAAACAAATCTGGAAAAAATAGAAAGGTAAGCTACTCAAAATAACCATTAAAACATTCCTTATTCATCATACCATAAAGTTGTAAACCTTAAAGGTCGGTTTTATTTCTTTATTGTGTATTAAAATCGAAAACAAAATCGGCTTACGCCGCCTCGATCAACAAATCAATATCCAAATACGGATTTTTTTAGTTTCATCAACGATTCGAGTTATAAGGAAATATTAGAAAATTCCGTGAACTATAATACGCGATTATGCATCGAAAGGAGATTAAGGTTGCCTTTCATCGACACCCAAACGGGTGTCGCCCAAAACCACTGCGCCCTTTTCATGAACAGACGGCAAAGGATACCGGGATTATTGCCTGGTCAAATTTACACGTATCCTAGGCAACGATGGAGGAAAAAGAGGAGGCAATATCTGACAATGCATTCCAGGGGATTCCACAGGGCTTCAGATGTTTTGGATGGTGATATAGACATGCACAGTATTTCACAGATTGAAAATCCTGCTCTGCAGGACACTGACAGCAAAGACAGTCAATTGTTGAAGGATGATGTGGCTAAGGTACCCAAGTCAATTGTTTTTTTGGGGGGATTGTGATTTTATTGTTTTTTAGGAATGGTTTTACGATGAACAAGATATGCTTGAAATAGATCCATATGATGAACCTGATCCAGATTCTGATTTAGATTATGAGGAGACTTATAAGAGGAGTAAACGGAGAAAGGGAGTTGGCAGGGTAAAACAATTAAAAACTAATAACAAATATTGGTATTAATACTCTTTTTTACAAAATTTAGGGTAGAGGTGGAGTTGATTCTCCCTCAACTCCTGGTCGCAGAAAGGGCCCTGGTAGGGGTAGGAAAAAGGCTGCTCATAATTTTGATCCCACCCCTGGTGATCCAGACAAACCGTTTGCTTGTGAACGTAAGTGTTTACATTTTTTACGTTGTTTCAATATTAGGCTTAAATAGGCAAAAATAAAACAAAAGTTTGTTTTATTTTTTTTTCCATAGATTGTGTGTTGAAAATACAAGTTGCTTATTTAGTTTTTGTAGATGATTTTAGATTTTGGTAATTGGTGATGGGTTATGGAAAAATTATAATTGATTTTTTAATAGTTTGTGAGCTCTAGATTTCAAAACCACTACGAAAATATATACAGGATGTTCCAAAAAGAGGGGGGTTAGTTAAAGTATAAAAAAATAAAAAAAATTCTGATAAAATCCATCTGTCAACCTGAACCTGAAGTGGTTTTAATAGCCTTTTTTTATGTTTACATTTAGTTCAGCTTGGATATGAATAGACTTTAGATTCTGTCATAAAAGTTGCCAGATTTTGTTTGAATTTACCTTCATTACAAAAATGACATAATAAACAATTAATAAAAACGCCAAATTAACAATTTGCTTTGTTGATTTTGTCATTTTTGTAATCAAGCTAAATTTAAACAAAATTTGGCAACTTTTTTGACAGAATCTGGAAGCCCTAGTTGTTACCAACCATAACATAATAAATTAAATTAGGTAACCAGATTAGCCTAAAGTCCTTAGTCGATCAGTGGCATACTTTTTGGATTAAAAAAAAAAAGTTTCAGGTGTTTCTTTATGGACTTTATTACATAACACCCTATTATTTTAGCACAGTGTTGCCAATTTTTTTAACTTAAAAAATCAAAAACTATTCATGAAATATGTGGGGCATTTTTGGGACACCCTGTATATTAATTTTTGTAGTAAGAGCCTGCTTAGCAAATTTTTACCTTACCACCAACCTTAATCAAGTGATTTTGCCAATTACCAAAACTGTGTCCATTATTTTGGTTCAACACACCATCGGCGACGATCAGGCAACATTGTATGACCTTCACGCGCGTCATTTGTCATCGGTTTTGTTTTGTTTTCTAAAATGGCAAAACAAATGAATCAGAAAGAAAGAATTCTGTGCTTGAGCATGTCAAACTAAATTAAAACGCGATAAAATACCATTAATAAACAAACAAACTCAGGCAATACCTATTTTTTAACGTAACTTTTATGGTTTTGTAACATTTTGTTCAATCAGAATTTCAATTGTCTCTGTTGTCAAGTCATCTTTAAAAAGTGAATTTTTGTTTGGACAGAATTTCGTAAAATAAACATAAAATAATGTTAAAAAATACGTGGCCATATAAAACAAATAGAAGTAGCAATTTCAATGGTTTTTTCTCATTATATTAATCGCTTGACGCTTTAGTACAGCTTCTTCATATTATATTATTTATACTTAGACAGGGACTCGAACCGAACATAAAAAAAAGAAATTCAATTGACAACGATTTTGTTTTTATGTTTGCGTCTTTTGTTTTAACCATAGACTCGCTTGTAGCGATCCATCTCACCGCTGCTTGCACTTCCCTTCTTCCGAAAATGATATCTCCGATAGCAACGTTACCACGTCGCGACGTTGCCATTAGAAAAAAAACATGTCAGATTTCGTTACAAAAAGGGTCTATGGCGGCGTTTTGTTTTTTGTTAAATGTGGCTAAGACTGACGGTTTTTTAAAGATTTCGGTTCGGGTTTCTTCGTAACTGCGCTTGGGTACTGATACAAAGTAGTTAATAACACTAGATAACTTATTTACCGCTAATTTTGTTTATTATTTTATTTGATTACATTTTTCATTTTAACTTAAAATACAATAACTAATAACCACTAACACTAAAATACTCGGGATTTTGGGGATTTTCGTGTTTTCGGTGTTGCCAAATTACTTTTTTTTTTAATCGGTTCCAGTCCCTCTGTCGTGTTCTTTGAGGATTAATAAAAAATGAAAATCTTCTGATTGCGCGTTATAAAATATTACCATGCTTTGCATTTATTGATAATATTATGCTTATTATTCTTACTAACTTTTAGATGAGGTAAAAGACTTTATTTTCTATTAATTAGTAGATTTACAAGTAGATTTTGAGATATAAAAAATGTTACTAATAAGTAGAAATAATTAATAAAAATTAAGAGTTAAAACCGGGAATAACTGTTCAAAATTTATTTTTAAAAAAATGGGTCTTTTATTTCCTAATGTGTCAAAAAATAAGCAGCGCCCTCTACTCAGAAGATATTTATTTTTTTTAACTTTTGTGGATTTTTGTGAGAAAAAAAAATCGGTAGTTTTATTAAGAAAGTAAAACTGTCAATTAGTTTACGATGCTTCATTACTTAAATATGCAAAAAATAATGCTTGTGTTCCATTTTTAATCCTGGCTAAATTTAAGATTCTAATAAAATCATTTTAAGGGAAAAAATTATCAAATTCTAAAATGATTTTATTTGATTTGTTTACAATGGTCAACATGATTTTTAGGCCTGGGTCTAAAAGTCTTGATCTTTTGAGAGTACAAAAATAATTCAACTGTATTTTTTGGTTTAACACCCACCCAAGTACAGTTGTATTCATAAAAAAAGCGCAGAAGAATTAGAGTGAGAGAAAACTGTCACCATAATATTATCCGGCTTATCACCACCGACTTATAGACCAGGGTCGATAATTTTTGAAACCAAAAAAAAATAACAGTAGGATGAAACCCATTGGAAAAGGAGAAGAAATAAAAATGAAAGGAAAAATAAATTACGGGCGATCTGACTTTGGGAAGTGGGAGGGGGGGGGTTTTAAGGGTAAAAAATGGTTTATCTCGATTTCCGGCAAAACTACAAGTCCTATGGAAAAAAGTTAAATGGCAAAGTTGTAGGTAATAAAAGGATCTACAACTTTTGTAATTACAATTTTTTTACATAACCTCAAAATTTATGTGAAAAATCAAAAAACCAAGTTTTTGGTTTTTTATTTTTATCTTTTCCAAAAAAAATTTGGTGAAAACTTACACGAAATTTGGTGAAAACTTACCTTTTTATGTCCCAAATACACTGTAATTTATTTGATTTGAAATATTTATTATTTCGCCTTATTTTGACTTAATATCAAAAAAGCACCCTAATTTTCAATCGAAAATTCTCGCGTCAAAATATCAGGTTTTTTCAAAAAGTCGGTGTGCTTTTTGTTCGTTGAAATCTCTACTTTCTGATGGTGTAAAAAAAATATACATTACTATGGTAAATGTTCTCAGAAAATGCAAAAAATATTATAATGAATAACGAAAAAAACTCGAATTCGAAAATTTATTTTAAATTAAAATTTTTAATCATTATGTACAATTTCATCAAAAAAATGTGATTGTTGCAATTTTTTTTAGTTAAAAAGTTTATTTATTAAATTCTAATAACATTTATGTCAGAAAATATAAAAATACATGTAAATCATACTGTTGAATTTAGATACTTCATTCTGATTATGTTATTCATTATAATATTTTTTGTATTTTCTGAGAACATTTACCATAGTAATGTATATTTTTTTTACACCATCAGAAAGTAGAGAGTTCATCGAACAAAAAGCACACCGACTTTTTGAAAAAAGCTGATATTTTGACGCTAGAATTTTCGATTGAAAATTAGGGTGCTTTTTTGATATCAAGTCGAAATAAGGCGAAATAATAAATATTTCAAATCAAATAAATTACAGTGTATTTGGGACATAAAAAGGTAAGTTTTCACCAAATTTCGTGGAAAAAATTTTTTTTTTTAAAGATAAAAATAAAAAACCAAAAACTTGGTTTTTTGAATTTTTCACATAAATTTTGAGGTTATGTGAAAAAATTGTAAATTCAAAAGTTGTAGATCTTTTTATTACCTACAACTTTTACATTTAACTTTTTTCCATAGGACTTGTAGTTTTGCCGAAAATCGAGATAAACCATTTTTTACCCTTAAAACCCCCCCCCCACTTCCCGAACTCAGATCGCCCGTAATTTATTTTTCCCCTTCTTTTCCAATAGGTTTCATCCTACTGTTATTTTTTTTCTCTTTTTACCATTTTTAAAGGCTTCTGCACTGGTCTATTAAGTGATTACAATTATTTATGGTTATAAATTGACGTCGGAGGTTTATTAAATGTTAAAAGAACCCAGAATCATAAAAAAATGTTGACCAATGTAATAAATTTTTTCAAAATTTCCGTTCGACGGAACACCAAAAAACATAAAAAAAACAGCAGCTGCAAGAAACAATCCAAACTGAATTTCAGTGTGCGGAGCGCGTTACAAGACACGGCCCGGTCTGACGTACCACTACGGCCACTCGCACAAAGAGGGCGCTAGCGACGACAATTCGCGCGACAGCACCGCCGCCGCCTCTGCCGCCCCTCCGACCGCTCCGCAACAACAACCGCCGCCCCCACCACCGAACATGATGGTGGGCGGCATCGGCGGCCCGCCCCCGCTCATGGGAGGACCGCCGATGGGGCCGGGGGGACCGGTGGGAGTAGGGGGGCAGCCGCCGCCGCCGAACATGATGGGCGGCGGTGGTATCGTGCAACCGCCGCCTATGCCGCCGCTCGTGGACGGCCAGCCGCCCAACCTCAATCCGAATCCGCTGGGACCACCTGTGTATCAGGACAGTTACGTTTCATTTTTGAACGCATCACCACCCGGTACTGCAAATTTTTAATTAATACCTTTATTTAATATAATTATCTCTATTTTTTATTACTGATTTATCAATCACCCTTTTACTTTTACTATTTATTAACTGTAACTTTTATTTAATTGCCTTTAAGATATTCTACAATCACGTAAGACATAGGTGGCCAAGAGATGGCGTTACTTGTATGTTCCTACCATATACTTACCACACATATACCGCTTATTCCCTATATTTTGAATAGATGACCTTGTTCCCGTTTTTAAGGGGAGGGTGGCTACTCTCTACCTTTTGCGCACGTGCAGTTCAAAAGTGGGAGATTAAAAAATCAATAATGTTTGTTGGTTATGAATAAATGCAAATGTCAGTTTAAGAATTTAGGTTATATTAAAAAAATATTAGAAAACTAGTTTTAAAATGCGAACTGTTTTGCTGTAAACAATAAACCAAAAATGATTTGTACTGTGACCAAAATGTTCGATTATAATCTATTTGGCAATAAGTCCTTGGGTAATAAAATAAGACGTAGCCAAATTTCTAATGCTAAACACATTTTTATAAAATTGAAAAAATAATACTTCTTTCTATTATTAATACTTAACATAACATAATTTATTAATTCTTTATAAATTATGCAATATAAAATATTTTTATAAGCTTTATAATAACGAAAATAATATTAGAATATAATTACATCTGGCAACACGGCCCCACGCATGTGTAAAACTGCATAAGTAGCTAGCTCCTACTTTAATAGAGATGTAAAAGTAACGAAAAAACTAATACCCGCATGTATTCGTTACTTTGAATGTGACTATTCGTTATAAAGTATTCGTTACTCGTTACTTTCGTTACTATAATACTTTAATTATTATTATACATGCCGCTGCCTAAAGAAAACATAAATTTTGATTACATTTACTTAGCATTTTACCAAATAATATTACAAAAATTGTCACATTTACACCCTGTAGAACAATTACAATACAATATTTTTTTTACACATTAAATAGGTACTATGCTCCATTATAAAGATTTATTATTTTTTTAACACATAAGCGGTAAACATATAAATATGATTTATTTCATTGACTGTACTTTGACATATACATAAGATAACATAAGATTTAAATTTATACTTTACAGTAACATAAAGAACAAAACATAAATACGCCTACCTTGTGAGGAAAAGTAAAGAAACTAAAAACCCATATAAAAACCTTTCTTTTTGCAAAGAACTCTTTAAAATAAACAATACCTAGATCACCTGATTTGTGTATGATACACAGCGTACGCACAGTGCTGTGAGCGTACGCTTCAGCCTGGCGCATGGCCGTACGTATCGTATCGAATCGAACGAACGCTGCAGAGTACGTAGATACGGGACGAAATTGTGAGTGGCGCAAGTAACGAAACGATGCGAGTAACGAGACGTATTTTAAAGTAACGAATCGGTATTTCGAACCTCATCCAGTACCCGTTACTTTGTACCGAATACATACGGTTCGTCACATCTCTATACTTTAACCCCACGAAAAGGAAACAGCCTGAATCCAAAATGATCTGTATATGTGTGGTAAGTATATGGTTCCTACCACATACTTCCACACATACCGTATTTTTATTTTTCTTTTAGACAGAGGCCGCATTAGGTTTTTAAGAGTGGGAGGCGCCGAGACTCTCGGCCCGAGAATTCAGTAGTAGACCCTTCACCAGCGATGGTTGATAGTCGAAGTTTGCTCTGAATTATTAATATGAATTACGCATTATTAAGTTAATTTACTTTTAAAAATAATTCAGATACTTGAAATGTAACGTAATTACTTTTAAATGTAAATTATTATTAATTGAAGGTGTAATAGTTATTTGTTTTACAAGTGTTGAAAAGCGACTTTTTCATGCGAGTTTTTAAGTTGCCCACGAGGCCGTTAGGCCGAGTGTGCATTAACACGAGCTTGAAGAAAGCTTTTCTCACAAGTATAACACAATGTTTTTTCTGCGACCCTTATATTTTTTATTATTTTTAAATACACAACAAAATAACCTAAAAACTTTTTTGACAGCTGAATGTCAAACGATGCTTTCCGGTTCTTTTCACACAGACCTGTCACTTTTCACACAGAAATGTCACTTTACATTCGTGTTTTGCCTTGCCAATGAAAAGATTCATTTTCTAAGCAACGATGCCATCATGAAAAGTGACTTTTACATAGTGGTCGTAGAAAAAATCATTATTTGTTTTGCATATAACTAAAAGTGTTTTCTTTAAAAACTAAAACAAAATAATTCTCTTGAAAACAAATTAAAATAAATAAATTAATTCAAAACGTTTCTTATTGTTTTAATTCACGGAATAGATCGATCCGGATATTTAATTTTTCTCTTGTTTGACGCACTAAAGACAGCTTATCATGTCAAATTAATTTATTTTAAAACCCTCGAAATACATACTAGCAAATGCAAAATATGACTAAATCGTCGCCTACGGCAATCCGCTTACAATGGGAGGGGTGATCGGGTTCACTCGAGTGTATATATTTCAAATGAAAATGCGGTTTACAAATTATGTCTAACTGAGACCCTTTTCGTGGGGTTAAAGTAGGGGAAGTGAGAATCACACGGAAGATTGCATTTAGGCGCATGCGTGGCGTTATTTCCGGTTAAAAAATGTTTTATATAACAAATACTTTTTCATAAATTTGATATAAATTATATGAAAAAAAGCAACGTCGTATTTCTACCACGATAGCCAAAAGGGTTTTATCATACATATTACTATGTAGATGGTTTTTATAATTAACCATTTTGTTTGTTTTCTGTTTTGTTTTGGCATTGTTTTTTTTAGTGGCTTTTACATTAGACTGGGCCAAAAAATCGACTATTTTTTTTTTGGAAAGTATATATAAAATATTGTTTGAGGTGACAAAAAAAATTATGGTGAAAGTTTTTGTCCATAATATTAATATTAATAGGTCTATCATCGCAATTTTAGATTTTTTTTCCTGAGCGAGTCTCAGAACTCCCAAATCATTAAGTTTAACAAAATTGACTTAAGAATATTTTTTGAAGAAAATTGAATGCTCTACAAAAAAGGTTTGATTGGAATTTCCCGTCAGATGAACCGGTTTCTTACAATCATGCCTTAAAAATTGGTATAGTTTTACAATTTGATCTTTTAACTTTGGAATTTTTTAATTCAAGTAAAAATCAGTACCCTGAAAAAAAACGATAAATATTCTTATGGGAAATCAAATGCTCTACAAAAAAATCTTTTATCATTTTTGGCTAAATTCACTCCATCAAAAGTTATTCAAGGTTAAATTTACTCCATCAAAAGTTATTCAAGGTTAAATTTGAATTCAAATGAAATTTTAACCTTGAATAACTTTTGATTGAGTGAATTTAGCCAAAAATGTTAAGAGGCTTTTTTTGTAAAGCATTTGATTTCCCATAAGAATATTTATCGGTTTTTTTATGGGTACTGATTTTTACATGAATTACAAAATTCTAATTTAAAAGATCAAAATGTAAAACTACACCAATTTTTAAGGCATGATTTTAAGGAAACGGTTCATCTGACGGAAAATTTCACTTTAACCTTTTTTGTAGAGCATTTAATTTTCTTAAAAAAATATTTTTAAGTCAATTTTGTTAAACTCAATGGTTTGGGAGTACTGAGCCTAAAACTTGCTGAGGAAAAAAAAATTAAAATTAATTAATTAATATTAATATTATGGACTCAAACTTTCACAATAATTTTTTTTGTCACCCCAAACCATATTTTCGATATACTTTTCAAAAAAAAATAGTTTTGGCCGTCTATTTTACATATTATGCACCTTTCGGCATTTTATAAAGCCAAACCACAGTGGACCTATTACTATATCTATGGTATCATATATTTTAAATCCCCCACTCATGACCTGACTATGCGCATAAGGTAAAATGATACGGCAAATCGACAAATTTCCCCTCAAAAAAGGAAACAAGGTGATCTATACAAAATATAGCCAATAAGCGGTATACAGTGCTTGCAAATCCAAGTCCGACCGGTTTGGGAAGGACGCGTAAAAACAACAAGGATAGAACGCCAAACAGAAGGCGCTTACAATACGCACGCCTGACGCTCTGACCAATCAAATTCTGTTTGGCATTCTATCCTTATTCTTTTCACGCGGGTATTGAACAACCATCCTTCCCAACGTGGTCGGACTTGGATTTGCAAGCACTGTATGTGTAGAAGTATGTGGTTCCTACTTTAAATTAGCGCCATTTCTATCTATGATAAAAAATAAGACTACTTGCCTAAAATTGTTATAAAACAAAGGTTGTAGGCGATCTTAAAAGTATTTGTTTTTAATTTTCGACTTGTTCCCGATTTTACTTTTATTTATTTTGAGTGTTTTTGCATGCATGAGAGTAGTAATGGAATGTGATGCCCTTTTATTCTTTTAGACGGTTTTTTAGTTTATTTTATTTTATCACTGCAATGTCACTGGTCAACAAAATTTATTTTTTGATTAACAAATTTTTTGTTGAGCAGTGATAACACCACAACAATAATGTTGTGGAAAAACCAGATTTCAAATTAATTATCTGAAAAAAATTCCAATAACTTGTTTTTGTCTAATTATAACCTATATTTAATTAGTAATACTGGTTTTATAAAATGTTTTGTTTTTGTAGTAGTTTTACTTGTTCTAGAAATAATTTTAACCATAACTAATGTACAGAACTTTATTTATATCTTGTTACAATTGCCATTTTTGTTTCGAATCTTAACAATTTTTTGTGTGTTAGAGGCATGAATGAACGTTTTTTGGAACTAAACCAGCAAAAACATTTTTTTAAATGAAATTATTTAATTTGTTAGTTTAGTCTAAGAAACTGCTCCTTAATTTTGTGACTCACTGTATTTTTGTGAATGTATTTTTACAGGGTGATGCATAACTGCTATGTTTTCAGGTCAAAAAGATCTTCTGGAGAACGTGTATTTTTATCTTCAAGCCTTCTATAATTTAAACTTTCATTATTGTCAACACACTACTAAAGTGATTGATTATCGCCTAGGCGACCAAAACATGTTTGGTCCAATAAAAAAATTCTATTACTGTCAGATCTACCTAACCTCAGTTTCTGCTTTTAATAATTATTATTACAATTTCACGTTTTTTGTAATGTTTAGCAAATAAAATTGTGCCATGAAGATAATAGTATATTATGTATGAAGTTTTATAAACGCCATTTTAGTTACGAGTTTAATTAAGCACGAGCGAAGCTTGCGAGCGAGTGTTTAATAAAAACGAGTGTCTAGAGGGGTTTATAAACGAGTTGCATACTATACTTTATCTACGACGAACACAAAACAGAATTTAAAGCCAATTTTATTTGTTAAAGTTTTGACATCTGTCAACTGTCACCCGAATTTAACCTCACTTTTTCCCAATTTATAATAAAGCTAACTTCAGCCTGTGACGTAAAATGTCGAAAAGCCACTGTTGTTAACTTCAACCCGTCAATAAAACGCCATAAAGTGACAGCTCGTCAATGTAGGAGTAGATAAATGTGTTTATTACATGTCTTGTTTAGTAAGTCAAAACTTTTGACATTTAAAAATGCACGTGTTTTCAACAAATTAGAGAATTTGTTTATTTCTCATACGTTTTTAATTAAGAATGTAAAAGTTGGGAGAAAGTAAGGTTAAAACCGTTTGACAGATGTTAGGATATTATACAAGGGGTGACTCAAATGATTTTGGAATAAGCTAGTTTCCAACTTCATAATAATATACAGGGCGAGTTTTCAGTTGACGCGTTCCTTTTAACAGTGTGTAGAAATCAGCTACACAAATAAATATTTTAAGTAACTTTTTTATCAAAACTCAAAAATAAAAAAGTTATAGCCCATCAAAGTTTAATTAAATTTTAAGCCGGTCCTGGCTATTGTTAACGAAAAACATAACCATAAAAATATCAAAATAAACAATGCAAAATGTCATATTTGACAACAAACATAACCATTTAAATCACATTGACATTTTGCAATAAAAAATGTCATTATTTATTTAAGTTGCAGCATTTGCATTTTGACGACACTCTTCATAAATTAGTCTCATTTCCACTAATTCATTATTGATATAATTATGAAGCATTTTTAATAATAATTGAGGCACAAAAAAACTGACATTTTTCATTGCTAAATGTCATTTTGATTTAAATGGTTATGTTTGTTGTCATAGATGACATTTTGCATTGTTTATTTTGTTATTTTTATTTTTATGGTTATGTTTTTTGTTAACAATAGCCAGGACCGGCTCAAAATTTAATCAAACTCAAACCTATAACTCTCTTATTTTTGAGTTTTGATAAAAAAGTTACTTAAAATATTTATTTGTTTATTTGATTTCTACACGCTGTTAAAAAAAACGCGTCAACTTAAAACTCACCATTTTGTTATTTTTACATATTCTACAAATTTTTTTTTAAATGGTAATTTTTTTTTAAATGGTAATTTCCAATATCCAACTTTCTCAATTGTTGAACAATGCACTAATTTGATATTCTTAAATACGGTTTTGACATTCTTAAATGTTTAACCATGTTCTCCAAAAGATTATATTTGGTCTTAAATATGTCATAAAAGTTGTTTGCCACCCTGTGCATCACCAAAAAAATCTACAACACATTTTTCCACACACACAGGGACTCCGGGTCGCAGGGGTCGCCACCCGAACCCTCAAGGCATGCCCCCAGGGCCAGGGCAGATGCCACCCGGCATGCCTCCGATGCCGCCGGGGGGGCCACCTCCAGGCCACCCCGGGCACCCGCTCCAAGCGCCTCCGAATCTCCCCCCAAACTTGCCCCCGCAGCAGCCGCCTATGATTATGGACGACCCCACAATGCCGGTCCTGATGCCCGAGAAGTCGCTGGTCGATCTGCCCCCGCACCCGCCGATGATGATGATGGGGGAACCCCCGATGGAGAAGAAGAACGCCGCGCCCAGTCCTTACTGCGATTTTTGCCTGGGCGACACGAATCAGAACAAGAAAACCGGGGGAATGGAGGAGCTGGTTTCGTGCAGCGATTGCGGGAGATCAGGTAAGGGGAGAGCACCGACGGTCGTCGAGGAGAAACCTAGCAAAAAAGGGCGCAAAAAGAAAGTCGTTGTTTAAATAATATATGGGGCTTTTAGGTTATAACATAAGACTGCTGGGTTCGAAATAAATGAGAAATGCCGTCCCATGATTTACTAAAGACCGTTCTTTAACTTGGGATGGCATACAACGGTGGCGCAGTCGGTAGGATAGTCTAGTCTAAAATCATTATTTTCGAATAATTTGCAAATATACGTTTTATTTGACGAAAATAGGTTATGGCGTTTGGAAAGTTGGGTTTTGCCAGAAAAATCTAAACTAGTCTGGTAAGGGTTTGTATATTGAATAAAGGCAAATGGGCATGGTATCGTTGTTACTACTAATTCGTGGTTTTATTAAATTCTCTAACTCTAGTCGAGAAATCTCTATATTTAATTGAGCCGGGACAAACTTATTTTTTAAACTAACAAGACTATAAGTCTAGTCTTTTTGATTTGAAAAATATTGTTTTCCTGAATATCTGGTGTCAAGTCTCGTGCAGTGAGTGTTATATTATAAGTACCTATATAAATAATAAAAATAAATAAAAATGTCATGATATTGTGTGATATGCTTGAAAACACCAATTGTAACATAGTTTATACTTTTTTTAATATGTATAAATTAACGTTCCTATTAAATATTTAAGTATATAATTAACTGGAAAAGCAAACTTTCAAAACGCCAAAAGCCTAATATCAAAATTTAAGTGTGAATTTAAAGTATTACTTACTTTAATTTTTTATAAACAAAGAGCTGCCAAAAATGTACAAAATTATTAAAAATTAAACTTGAGTCCTTTTTTGTTTTGTTTGTCTGTGATAATCAAGTTCTTTTAATCAAAATTTATTATCATTTTTATTTGTTAACTTTTTTTGAAACCATTGATACGTAAATAATTGTTGTTTTAATACGTTTTTGGTTGAAACATTTATTCACATAGACTGATTTGTTTTTTAGTGTAAAAACAAATTTATTAGACAATTTTTATATGAGCCATTTTAGGAAAAATAAAACACAAGAAAGTGTGATGGTTCAACATGCAGTATGTACCTGGATTGAGTTTACAAGAGGGGCATTTTTTTTATTTTTGGTTTTTCGATGAAATCGAAGAAAAGTCATTTTTGTTTAAAAGTTTTGATTGTCAAAAAAATAACAAGTATACTTGCCAGAGGCGAATTATAAAACTTTATAGTGCAAAAAACTTAAAGGCTTTATAATTGAGTTGCATAAATTATTTTTTCCAATACCATAATAATTTCATAAATAATTACTAAAAATGTGAATTATTTTAAACTTGTTTTTATTTAATTTATTTACGCCCTCAATGAGTAAATTGTCAAAAATAAACTACTCTTGACACTTAAATGTCATCAAAAACTACAACTTTAAAATTGATTTTATTTACAGGGTCTTCCAAAATTAGGAAAACAAAATCGATTTAAGAAAGAAGTACCCACTTATATTTTACAGAAAAAAGTTGTTTATAATTTAAAACGAACTATGAATACAAAAATTACGACTGAAATTATAAAGTTGATTTTTCTTTGTTTTTTCACGATCAGGTTTATTCATGATCAGGTTTATTTAAAGAAAAGTCAATCTAGATTAAATATTTTCAATATTCACAAACTGTTGTAAAATTTGTAATTTTAACTACAAGGTGGAAGTAAGGAAAACATTTTGTCAGTGATTTTTTTTTCAAAATATCAAAAATAAAAATATATAACTCCATCCTAGAAAAATCAACTTCCTAATTTTTGTAATTAACTTAGCTTTTAATTACAAACAACTTTTTCATATAAAAATTTTCAAATAAATTAAAAATGAAGGTACTTCTTAATTTGTTTCCATGTTTGCCCAATTTTTAAACACCCTTTGGATAAAATTCCAATTTTTTATGTCAATGTTATTTTTTCAACAACTAAAACTTTTTATAAAAAAAAAACAAAAATAAAAACTTGTCATTGTAAACTCAATTTGAGGACATACTGTACACAGTGTACACCCTGTATACTGCCAATATTTTATACATTCACTAGTTATCTGAAATATTTAATCGATTGTAGTTTTATATTATGCTTTTTAAGTTAATATAAATACAGGTTGGTCCATATAAAAAAAACAGGAGTGGGACAACTTGTTTTAGTAAGTAATAATCTTGCCAAAATAAGAATTTTACAAGGGTTTTTGTTGTTGAACAGGGTGAGTAAAAAAACCTCTCCAAACAGTAACCACATATCTACAACAAAATATACTCTAATTATTTTTAAATATCATGTTTTAGCGTTTTATTCGATTTCGTCACAAAATTTCATTTTAAAGTTGGCTGTCGGTAAGGTTATTTTGTGTCGCCCTGTATGTCAAATAGAAAATTTAAGCACACGGTGGAAGAATTTTGCACAAAAAAATTGGTCTTCCAATTAATTAGGGCATTTTCATACCACATCATTGTTTAGTCAAAATGTATTTATTTCTTGGGAAATATTTTTGCCTTGTTCTCTGGGCAAAAATAATTCTTACATAATTTTAAGTAATAATGAAATCTTTGTGTTTCAAACAATACCTTACTATAACTTTTTTTAGTGTAAATAAGTTAAAAGTTGGCAACACTATATGTCAAAAACTATTGTTTAGGCCACTTTTAAGGGTATGGAGGGTAGAGAGAAGGAGGACGCTCTCTGTGTATAAAAAATGTCCGTAAAATAGAGTTACTGCAATAAAACTCCAAAATTTTACAGTAGAGGTTACCTAATCAAAGACGTACGTCCACGACCGTAATAACGCGCATAGTTCAGATTTTACCCGTATAGAACTGCTATACACTGCTACACCTTTGGGTGAACACTTGCAACTGAAGTCACATAAGAGAAACTCCTCCTTTCCTCAACCTTCCATAGTTAAGGGTGCATTTGAGTATATGTAGAATAAGAACAGTAATTTTCCAAGGTTATGTAATTTGTAACGTAAAAAGAGGATAAAAGTGCAATAATAATAAAAATTATGCCAACAAATCGCAGATAAAGTTGTTATTATTTCAGTGCCGAAGATTTTTGGTGCACTTCAATTTATGTGAATTTTCTATTTATTTTAATGCATCTCGTTTAAAAAAATCATCGTTTTGTTTTTTTGTTTAATTTTAAAATCGATTATTTTGATGCATTCAAAATAATGAAGGTGGGAAAATTACGTAACTTGGAAAGTCACTGTTCTTCGGCACTTAGTCACCCTTCTCATCCCACTGCTTTAGAAAAATAAAAAAGTAAAATAGTTATGTTTAATGCTAGATTGCGTAAACTTTTGCATTCGAGAATGTAAGTTTTTTTGTGAACGTTTCGCGACGAAAAAAAACCTTCGAGAATGCATAAGAATTTCGCAATCAAGTATGTATTAAACAACAATTTGTCGAAAAGTATCCCATAGTTTATAAATTACTAAAAAGGTGAAGAAAACATTTTGAAACGGATTTAAAAGTATTTTGCATACATAGTAATTATATAACTAATGACGAAAAAAAAATACTTAAGGTGAGTATATAGAAATTAAATACTACAAGTTGATTAAAAAGTGACTTGTAACAGAACTTACAGCACTTCACGACCATTTTAAATTTATTAATGAAATCAAATATCACGCAACCTCGAAAGAAGAAGATAAGTCATTTCTTTGCGTTTAATGCCCCATAAAATTACAAAAAATAAGACAAAAATCATAAAAATTGTACCAGACGCAGGTTAGCCACAAACTCTCTTTGTTATATCTTTTGTGTTTGCAAAAGACACTCATATTTTATCATTGCGAAAAACTAAACACAAAATAAATTCTGCGCAAGAGCTAAGTAAAAAGGCGGGGCTCGCCCTATAGAACAGAAATACTATAGGCGGCCTTAAACATTAAATAACTCCTGCTATCTTCCGAATTATAAAAAATGGTGAAGCAAATTTCGTCTTAAATTTTGCAAGGCCCCTTTCGTGATTTTCGGACACCCTGTATACATATTTTGATTTTCTGCTTAAAATCAATTTTTATTTAAATATTTATATAAAAAATTAATTGTCCAACTTTCTACCGGGTTACATAAAATTAACTAAATATACCTATATTTTTTTATTGTTTTTCTTTGGCCTCTAAAAATATCTACAATCGTGTAAAAAATATTTAAAACAATTATATTTTGTTAACTTTGTGTTGCTTGGTGAATCGGTACGACCAAAGCGATATTTTTTACAATTTATTATTCAGGAAATGTTTAATCATTATCCACTATTTAAAAAAAAATGTAAATAATACTAATTAAACATTTATTTTTAAATTAATTTTTATAAATATATCAATATTTAAAAAAAATAGTTTCAAAGCAAAAAATCATAAAGCGTCTGCAAATCTTGCAGTTTTGCTAGACCGAATTAAACGGCCGTAAAAATTTGTTGCTGGAAGTTTGTAGCTAAGCTGTTTGGTAAAAAATGTAAATTATGATATGTAGTATTACATTGGTATATTTTTTGCTGACACAGATGTACAAAAATCATGTTGCATTTTTATCACGACCCTGATAAAACTAAATAAAAAAACATTTATCATTAGCCATGTTCTTGGACGTTATCGTTAGTGTCAAATATACATAATAGAGGTCACCTTTTATTTACATTTTTCATGCAATTCTAACCATTAGAACCAATAATCATTAATTACAAAATATGATTATAATTATAACTATTATAATTTAAGTAAAAATAATGCCAATTTAATCAATAATTTATGAATTGCAATGATTTAAATTTGCTTACGTGCGTTTTAAATTGATAACAACTATATTCATTGATGGCTTCAAAATTTTTAAATTGATAACAACTATATTCATTGATGGCTTCAAAAATTTTAGTTTTCTTTCCATTCATCAGCTCTATATTAAATATGTTGAATTGCATAATAAAAAGTAATAATAATACGTACTATGCCCCACATTAAAAAGTCAAATTTTCTGAAAATATTACAATAATAGTATATTATTATTATACGAGAGATAATGCATGCTATTGTTCACGAGGAAGAGTCGCCAGACGAGACTTAATCATCCAAATAAATAATGCGCAAAAAAACTAAAGAGACGTTTTAATATTTTATACTTTATAGGCACTATAATATAGTGCTATAAAGCATAAAATATTTGTAAGATTTAAAACGAAAAACGTGAGGCGATGGCAATAGATATTAGTAAGGAGTGTCATCTGTCAACTTGAAACCTGTTCGTGGTATTGGTATTGTCATCCAGTTCTAAGCTACATATCGCACATGGGCGACAACAGTGTCATAAGTAGTAAAACCTTAATTCCAAGATAATGACCGTAAAAGATTTTTGAATAATAAAATTCTGACATTTTTGTAAAATTATATTAACTTACACTGTATACCAAAATTTTTATTGAAAATAAATTACTATAGTGACATTATGTCAATATGTCTTGTTAAATAAGTAAAAATGAGTTACTCAGACAGAAAAAGACAAACTATTTCAACTTATTATATTAAAAATAATTTAAATATTTCAGAAACGGTTAAATTTAGGTATATGGTATGTTATAATATATTATGAAATATGCTTAGAATTTTACAAGGAATCGAAAAATAAATACATATATGTATAGGGTGATCCATTGAAAAAAATAAACTTTTTGTTTTTCCCTGTATACTGATCAATATTCCAATTTTTTTTATACGTAGAAAAAAAGTATTTTTAGTACCTACATAACCACACTATTAAATTTTTTTGGACTCTTAAAATAAAAAAGTTAAAGGGGGGCGACATTATAGGGGATCACCCTGTACTATACCTACTAATAAAAAAAGTACATAAAATACCAACTTATCAAAGTTTAAAAAATAAAAAAAACATTTTGTTTTAGGTCATCCATCTTGTCTTCAATTTACAGCAAATATGAAAATATCTGTGAAAAAATATCGCTGGCAATGCATCGAATGCAAATGCTGTTCTATGTGTGGAAATTCTGATAATGATGTAAGTTTTTTCAAAATTATTAAATATTTTTAAAATTTATATTTATTATTTTCTTTAGGATCAACTTCTTTTCTGCGACGACTGCGACAGAGGCTACCACATGTACTGTCTGTCCCCCCCTCTGGTGAATCCCCCTGAAGGATCATGGTCCTGCAATTTGTGCATCGAACAATTTCACAAATAAAAAAATACATAATTTTTTATTTAGCATTATTATAACTTTTTTTTTAATTGTATAGGTACTAGTACTAGAATTAAGCTATAGGTACTTAAAAACAAACTGTGAACTTAGTACTTAATTGTTACGTTAATAAAAGAGGCCTATTTTTTATTTAAATTAAAAACATGTGTCAGTTTTTTATATGAAGTCCATTTTTTACCTCCTTTTTTAATTTTAAATATTAAACTGTGACAATATTTTATATAAATATATTTTTCTTGTAAATTATCCCTGTTAATTTGCATCATAAAAAAATATTGAAAATTATACCTGCTTTTTATTGTATAAACATGCAAAATCTCCTGACATTTAATTTAAAAAACCTGCAATTATTATTGATTTTAAGCATACTTGGTTTTTGTATAACCCATACAAAGATATATAGAGACTAGACCAGGGTCGATAATTTTTTAAACAAAAAAAAATTACAGTAGAATGAAACCCATTGGAAAAGGAGGAGAATATAATAAAAAAGAAAGAAAAAATAAATTACGGGCGATCTGACTTCGGGAAGTGGGAGGGGGGGCTTTAAGGGTAAAAAATGGTTTATCTCGATTTCCGGCAAAAATACAAGTCCTATGGAAAAAATTTAAATGGCAAAGTTGTAGGTAATAAAAAGATCTACAACTTTTGTATTTATAATTTTTTCACATAACCTCAAAATTTATGTGAAAAATTCAAATAACCAAGTTTTTGGTTTTTTATTTTTATCTTTATCAAAAAAAAATTTTTTTCCACGAAATTTGGTGAAAACTTACCTTTTTATGTCCCAAATACACTGTAATTTATTTGATTTGAAATATTTATTATTTCGCCTTATTTTGACTTAATATCAAAAAAGCACCCTAATTTTCAATCGAAAATTCTCGCGTCAAAATATCAGCTTTTTTCAAAAAGTCGGTGTGCTTTTTTTTCGATGAACTCTCTACTTTCTGATGGTGTAAAAAAAATATACATTACTATGGTAAATGTTCTCAGAAAATACAAAAAATATTATAATGAATAATAATGTGGTCTAGACAGGATAGTTGACTTTCTATACTTCTCCACACAGATCATAAAACGCTTTTTTAACGGAGTTGACTATCCTGTCACATGTATTCTTGGACCCATACAATTCAACTTTTTTAAATGTCATTTGAAAAATGTCAACATTAAAATCAAAAATAAGTCGATAAAATTGTATCCAAGGCGATAAATCGTTTGCTTATTAAGTAAATATTCGATTTTTGATTAACAAACGCGCAGGTGTGAGTTTTTGGTTGTTATTTTCGAAAGATAAGCCGCACGCTCGTTTTTATCCCCACCACTTTGAAATTCAAATGACGCGCTTCAGAAACAGATGATTTTGTAGGTTTGTGACTCACTTCCGATCAGTTCAGTTTGCGCCGTCATTTTGTTTCGTGCTTTGTGTGCGTTGTGCTGCCAAAAACTTTTCAAAAATCCGTGTTTTTAATGAAAAATTCGTTTATTTCGTTGACTCGTTTAAGCATTAAACACCTAAGGTGAGTAAATGTTAGAAAATCAATGGTTTTAAAGGTATATTGTACGAAATATCGTTGGAAATATGTCAACGTAGAATGTGCGTTGCAACATAATGGTTTCGATGGTTAGTCAGCTCTCTCCAAGGCGATTTCTTGGAAATTACGTGGAGAATTGCTTGAAAATGCACGAAAATTGATTAGTATACATTTTTCGTTGTTAAATATGGGCGAAATTGATGCGGACGTGTGCAGCTGCACGCTCCGAGAGACGGGTTCTTTGTTTTGGTCGTAATTTTGACCCGCATCTGTTTACGTGTATATGGGCTCTGTTAGGTTTTTTTATGACGTCGGGCCATCGTTTTGTTTTATTTGCCAGTTACGATGCACTAAACGAAGAATAAAGCACCGATATTAAAGACATAGCACTTCTTTGTCTAGTTTGTCAATTATTGAAATAACTACTGTCACTCAACCGCATTTTCCATATTGAAATTAACGTTTAAAATGAAGTTTTTTTAATTGTTGCTTTTTTTAGTTTTTAAGGTATGCAGTGATATGGCTATCTTATTACATGATACCGAATACGTCAATCGTTTAAATTTGTGTGTTTTTGTTTCTTGCAGATAACCTTTGGCAGCTGCTTTTTAACACACCGATGTTATTAAATTCGAACGAACGAACATGAAGGAAGAGATTTTAGCTGCTGTTATGTTCTTTATTCGTTTTATCGAAAAAAGTGAAACGTTTCCCCGAGAGCAACTGGAAAACTTTAAAAGACACCTCACAGATCTTCTAGAGGAAAGGTGAGTTGCGAATTTTATACTAAATTCTCTTCTCCCAATTCGCAGTGCAGTGCAAGTGTTTCAGTGCCCGAAAATCATTCAAATGTGCCCCAATCATTCTAAAATGTGTCCAAAAATTATCTTAAATGTGTGTGAAAAAACGTGGTTCTTATGAAACAAAGCGTAAGTTAACTAAAATTACGAAATATACGAAAGTTGATATTTTGATATTTTGACTTTGATAAGTAGATAATTTCAAGTATGGTACTTAATATTAACAATAATTTAATACAAAATTGTTAAATAATGCATTTATATTATAAACAAAGGCGGAATATAACAAATATCAAAAATAATCTTTGGCATACAAAGCGTTAAAACCGACGAGTTTTAAAAAAATATAAATATATTCTTAACCATGCCTAGCCTAATTTTGTTGCGATATTACCCTGTATATGACGATTTGACTCAAATTAAAAGTAGTTAAAACAACATGGTTCGAATGAAAATAAATTAATTTATTAGGTTTAATGGAATTAAATAACTATAAACTAGTTAATTTTTCTACGGGCTGTTGAGAACATCTGTTTTTAACTGGCCCCCCTAAAACAACCACCATATGCACAACTCTGTTGCATGTGTGTCTGAATTGTTAAATTGATTAATAGTTTCCCAAAAAAATATTAAATTACGCCGTTTTTAATCCTGATTTGCACTTTGTTATTTAATGCTTGTTTGTACAAAGTACCTATATTTGCAAAAAAATAATTTGTAATTTAAATGTTAAAGGTTTAATGTCGAGGCGCAAAAAACGTACATTAATTAGTTTTAATTGATTATTAAGAAAGTTGCACATACGTAAACAAACTAAATAAATACAGGGTGATGTTTAAATAAAAATGTTTATATAATTATTCCGTAAAAGTATTGTCTTCGTTAACGAAACGTCCCACACAATATCTGATTTTACATAAGTAATTGTCGCTAAATAGAATGGCAAATAGAAAGCCGTAATTAATTTAACATTTAACCAAACAAACACTGAATCAAAATTTAATATTTGTACTCTCCAAGTGCAATGCGACACCAATATTAAACGATAATTATTTATAACCTCACAGTTAGATTCCACAACAAATAATTGCATTGATAACAATAAATGCGTTTTAAATAAATTCTATACATAAGTATGATATTCCAAATCCTGTTTTACAGAGGTTTACACTGTTATATATTTGTGTAAACACATTGAAAATAGATAATACAATATTTATACATACTATACAAATAGGATCTAGAAAAGTCTAAAGATGGTTAGAAAACATGTAATTTTAAATAAATCATACAATTTTGGTTTTGCCTTGATAAATCTAGTTTTTGAGATACAAAGCGTCGTTGAGGTACCTACATCTTAAAATTTTAAAGTTTGCGTCATCACCTTAGGTTTCATATTTAGTGTTCGAGTAAAAGCCATTCAAAACTTGATGTCACAAAATAAAACTGTTTTGTTTACTACGAGTTCTGGGAAAAGGGGGCGCGTATCGGAGCCTAAATCCGGCTCTTAAACTGACAGGTGGGTTCTTGACGACCCATTTCCGAGAAGCACCGATTTTTTCTAGAACCAGTAAGGACAGGATGTCAGGCGACGTACCTTTATGGCCTTCGGAACGATGTTTGTAAACAAAGAGAATTTTTGTAGATTTTCTGCGGAATAGATGAAATATCGAGAGCAATTTACGAGAATTTTACGATGTAGATGAACCAGTGAGATATGCTGGTTGTATATATAAAGCAAATGCAATAAACAAAATAGAAAACTCAAATTCGCCACTTTCTCTCCACTTAGTAGAGGCGTATTAAATTACCATTAAATCCCGTTTTGTATATTTTCCATTTTGATTTGTATTAAATGGAGGTAATTTTCCAAAAATAAACCATCATCAAAATAAAAACATCCTGTTTCTTTGAAGTAGGTAGATAGTTGAGAAGGTCCTGGTTTTTATAAATATACTCCGAACCCCATCTAAAGGCACTAAAGTCTCGAAATAATTGGGTGCTTCGTTCTCAAAATAACTCTTGTAGCTTTCTTGTGTGGGCTCGACTAAATTCTTCAGCTATACAGGGTGTTGGGGTTAGATCAAAGAAACTATTTCAAGCTTCGGACCGAGAAAGTACAGCTGTAACTACAAATCAAACCTTTTGTTTAGTCCAAATTAAAAAAAAAAATAATCGTAACCACGGTACTTAATCGAAATGGTTAAAAACAAAAATTGTGTTTTACTCGAAACGGAATAAATTTGGTTACATAACGTTTTTGTTCTTGGCTTTCACAACAATTAATGTGTTCCAATTGTATTTGATCTGGCCGAATAATTTGAACAAATCAAAATTCAAAACTGGTTTAGATGTTTTCGTTTTATCGAGGTTTTTATATAATTTTGAGAGATGCATTCTCAGTGTCATTTGTTCGATTTGTTTAATTTGAAAACCATAAAATTTAATTAACTGACCCAGATTTACTCGTACAAATAAACAAGTCGTTTAAAATTTAAATTTCGAGTGTTTTTTTGGCCAATTTCTCTAAAAAATGCTCAATTGCCAAGTTTAGCAGACACTTTCTATTTTTGCGCGTTAAAAAAATACGTAAAGTATTTAGAAATATGGAAATTACTTATTTTATTTTCAAGGACTATTGATAAACACGCCGTTGGTTGTGCGTAAGTAAATTACTCGGAAAAGTCCAGAAAGGTTTGAAATTTTTCCAAATTAAAATTTTATCGTTTGACCTTTTGGGAGAAACTCAACAATCTCAATCAATAAAATTTCAAACAAACTATAACATGTTGTGATCTAGCATGCGGTGCTTGTGTTCGATGCGACAAAAAAACCGATTACATCAAGACCAACATTCATTTTTTTTTTCATTTCGTACGACCGTAAGTAATTAATTATTGCTCACGGTCACGGCCATCTCGGGGATCGCATGGAAAAAATGGGCAAAACAAGAGAAAAACGAAAAAAATTGAACGCCGTTTCGTTACGCATCGAGGCCGGCCTTCGAAGTCCCTCGATGTTCTGTTTCGTCGGTCACCGTTCAAGAAACATCGTCGTTTTTGCTTCATTGTTATTAGTTTCTTTTAAAACGTGCTAAAAATTGCAGAATATTGCTTTTCTGCGCACTAAATAGTCGAGACCCTCATTTTGGCGCAGTATGGGCTACCTTTTAACCTGTTTTCCTTTAATTTGTTCATAACAATTTAAAATATAGAAACAACAGATCATAGAACAAAAACACACAAGTCTGTTAATTGTGAAACATTTATTATATAATGCCTTTATAGGTATTTTGAAACACGTAAAATCAATCAGCCAAAGTACAAAAAAAATTGAAACGGTGAGATTAAGAACAGTACATGTACAAAAGTTAAAATTTGGTCCAATTATTTTATAAAATCGTTTTATAGTTGAAAATGCATTTTTGTAATAAATTTTTAAGTATTTAAAAAAATTTAATCATATTTGGTAAATAGTTTATATCTTACAAAAATGCATTTTAAACTTTTAAATTGATTTTAGAAAATGATTTGTTAAAATAAAAATTTTGGACCTGTATTATTCTTAATCTCACCGATTCAATTAAATATATAAAACAAAATATACAATTAATTATTCACTAATTTTTTTAAATTTTTCAAGGGGATTTCACATTTTTAAAAACGAATACAAAAAATTAAAAACTTAAAATGCAGGTAGTCTTCAAAAAGCAATTTGTAACGGTTATGACCTGGTTTTATTTTTGGTTACGGCTGTATGGCATTGTTAATTTGTGTGGACCCTCCCGAACAAATTAATAAAATTGTGTTATTATATCATAAAGAAAGCTGTGGCCCGGCATGCTTCGTTTTATTGAGCTGGTCAGGAAAAGAAACGAAATTTAAATTCACAAATAAATTCGACAATTTGTTTAATTATGCGACTTTCTTTTGTTACAGTGTGTTGCCATTAAATGATTTCTTAAAAAGTTAAATAAAAAAGTCCTGGGCATTTATTTTTGTACAATATAGTATATTATGTAAAGTTTGATAAACGCCATTTTAGTCACGAATTTAATTTATACGAACGAAGTTTGCAAGCGAGTGCTTAATTAAATGAGTGCCTAGAAAAGTTTATAAATGAGTTGCATACTATACTTTTTCTACAAGAACTTAATATTATCTATAAAATGATTTAAATTATCACAAACTATTAAAAATTCTTACACGGGAAATGTTAAAGATACAAAAAGTCACAGTATTTATTGGAATTCCCGTTAGATTTTCTAACTTGGGAATCTACCGGCGTTAAAATCTCAAATTTTTCTTTGTAAATCTAAATTTTTCCCTAGACTAACAATCGATATACACTATTGGACAAAAGTAAAGCAACAACTGTATAAAAATCCAACTCCAAAACGCCTTTATTATTCTTTAAGAAATTTTGGATAAAAATACTTGAACTTAAATCTCAGTTTACGTGTTTAAGGGTTTTTTGAGAAAATATTTTTAAAGCCCATTTTTTTAATATTAAAAAAACGTTCGAAAAATAACTTTTACGGAATTTTTTTTACAAGTAAATAAAAAATATTCTGTTAATGACCGTATTTTTGTTAGTATACTCTAAAAATTTTGTACAAATCAAATGAACAGTAACGAAGATACAGCGCTTCAAAGTCGGTAAAAATGACCCTTTTTTGATTATTTTGCTGAAAAGTGGTCATTTTTGACGACTTTGAATCGCTCTATCTTCGTTACTGTTCATTTGATTTGTACAAAATTTTCAGGGTATACTAACAAAAATACAGTATTTAACAGTATATTTTTTATTTACTTGAAAAAAATTTCCGTAAAAATTATTTTTCGAAGGTTTTTTTAATATTAAAAAAATGGGCTTTAAAAATATTTTTTTAAAAACCCTCAAACACGTAAACTGAGATTTAAGTTCAAGTATTTTTATCCAAAATTTCTTAAAGATTAATAAAGGCG